CATGGACATTATGCGAGAGCCGGGGTACAATGGTACCCAGGGGTACTGCCATAAGGTTAATTTTAGCCCTCGATGACTTATATATATTGTACTATAGCTATGTCACCGTGGTAGCTTTTGTTCAGAAAAAGGTCATTAAGGAAGGAATATCGTAGTATGACGGAATATAATTTCATTAAAATAATGTTTTGATGTGATATATGAAAAGTCAACGGAATGTGAATATAAAAATGAATTATGTGTGTGAAACAGTGTATACACGAATCTTTCTCCCCATGGTGGATACTGCTCAATGGTGGACAGGGTGGCAGTTAACCTCCGAGGTGGTAGTTAACCTCCGAGGTGGTACCGACCAAACACTTGGCTCATGGTCTTCATGTGAATCAGCATTGCTGTAGTTGATTCTTAAACTTGCGATGCATATGTATATATGGAACGTGCGTGTTGGGAATTTAATTACATTGGTGAATCATTGTATCCTTAATACGAGGGCAAGTTGTCATTCGCCACTCAAACATAATGTAGCTTTACGAGCTGCTGGCACGAAGCATTTAATTAAATTTCATCTTTTGGAAAAGTAAAAAAAATACGACATACGTCTATGTATAATTTAAACATTATAAATAATTCATTCAAAACATGCATTTCTTAGGACGGTTGATAGTTTCAATCGTAATTATAACTTCCCTTTCAGCCTCGGCTTCTTGAAGTGTATGGCAAGTTACGCGTAAATCACACAGCTTTTGTGAGTAGCGCGATCAACGCTGCCCAGTCCGCCGGAGAGTGGGGCCCATGTGGAATGATGCAGTTGATTGCGATATGTTCCATCGTGTGGATAGGGTGGCCTGCAGTCACTGCGAGAGGTGGTTCACCTGCTGAGTATCTCACCGCGCGACTGAATGCCATCACTTTGGGGCTTTTTTTGGGAAATGTATTTAAATCGCTTCCAGCTATGGTGCAATTATGTGAATGTGAGTGGTGGCCACTTGGTGTGGGTGTGTCTGTGACGACCTGCACACTGGCTGCTCACCTCACTTCATGATTTAAAAAAAAACATTTAGTACATTATTCAGTAACAACGCTGTGGCCTGTAAATAAATAAGTAACAATATAATCGGTAACATTTCTGGGCAACGGCTCTTCTTCATAACACATGCATCATGGCAGCCTCCATGTGGCCCACTGTTTCGGCGAGAAATCACGACTCGTGCCTTCATCAACCCCGGTGACCTAACATCAATCATCGATATCCTGGTCTCCAGAACAACGACTCAAGGCACCGTAATAATACATGAAGAATAATTGTCGTGCTATGATGAAGGACCATTGGCCAAAAGGTCGCCTATTATATATCTACATTTGCATGAACAATAAAAATGAAATTCTAGGCAAAATAAAATCACGTTGTAACAAATTTCTAGCGACGGCATAGTGAAAATAACACAATAAGAGAATCCTAATGAAAAGCAAGTTTAAAAGAGTACGTTTCTAGATGTATTTTTAAAATGCTCAATGATTCTGACCTTAGCCGAGGCTGGGAATCAAACTCAGGCAGCACAGTGATGAGACCACTGCTCCACCGCTTCATTTGCGTGAATAAGATGAGTAAATGACGAGTGGTGCAAATCTCATCCCATAATCTGCTATTATTTGCATTTCTTCGCGCAGGTAAGAGGAGTCGCACGCACCGATAATGGGATCCCCCCCCCTCCCACCATCAGATTATAAAATTGTTTGTCCAATAAATTAAACAGCGGTGTAATTCATCGCAGTAAACAAGAGACGCCGGGAGAAATGGAGCTCATCCGTATCCTCCTCCGCTCCAAGGAATGGCGATGATCGTTGCAGGTGACGTGAGATGAGCTGCAGGCGAAGTCTGCATGTTCATCTACTTTACTTGGGGCATAACCTTGTGAACTTATGAGCATATGATACGCCATTTTAGTTAAAACGTTGCCCGTAAGATAATCCAGCAAGTATGCTGGTCTCCTAGTGAGTGGCTGTTTTCCAGGCACTACGCTATATCTTCCCACGCATACAATATTTAACGTCCATAATTAAGCAGGGCCCTTGTGAAATGTTGTTTTGAGACACTTGTTACAGCGTAGGAGCGTGAGACATATGGCGACGGCTTGGCATTAATCGAGCAGTCGGAAGGGTATTAATAAAAAAACTCGTACGTGGAAAAGAGGTGTGTGTGTCTTCTTGGTTATTTCGGTAAAGTCACGTAGAAGGGAAATAATAAAAATAAAACATAATCAATAAAAAATTCTCACGACGTTTCGGCTACAACACAAGCAGCCGTCCTCATTTAGTGTTTTATTTCTATTATTTTATTATTTTATTATTTCCCTTCTACGTGACTTTACCGACAGAACCAAGAAGATGAATCCCTGCAGTCACGAAAGCTTTAAATCGAAAAGAGGTGTGTGTGGTTCTATTCTTGCGTACCGTGGAAATATGTTCGGGAGCTAAATGCCAATATTGAGGTCTGCTAGCAACGACAAGAGGGCTTCAGGCGAGAGTTGGTGTAGTTTTTCTATTCCTCCTCCATTGAAGAAGTGCAGACTACAGTGGTTTGCTATATGGTCCATAGTTTGGGTTGCATTGTCACAATCACACTACTTTGGCTTGTGTGACACATGAGGAATGGACCACTGTTTCAATAAGTCCTTATGCACGTGTGTACACCAGCATGTGATGACTGAGTTGGGCCTGTGGGGGGGGCTGGCAGGGTTAATGATTAACCGGACGTGTACACCAGTCACGTGGTTAATGGCGACTCGGTGAAGATTGCTGTGTGTGACACACGTGCTGTTGCATTCTACAGATTAACCACAATAAATGTGTTTGCCCTCGATTTGGAGCACCTGCCCAACGTCCTTCATTTCGAGTGTGCAACACTTGTCTTTAATTTCACATTTTTTAAGTAGATGTGCACAGCCACATGTTGATGTCCTGATTGCTGGTCACACCGGTGTCTACGAGGAATGTCAAAGTCAGGAGATGTGCGATGTTTGTTTGGGTCTCGAATGTGCTGTTTATTCTGGACGTCCGCGTTGTTTCACTCTGTTCACCTGCGTTCGTCCGTACCTGGGTGACATTCTGGGACGGTGACAGCAAACAGCGCGATCTCAGAAGGGCGGGGAGGGCGGGGGATCGGGACTTGAGTCGGCGGCGAGGTTTTGTTGTTGACGTCTTGGTTGCTGGGTGGGTGGTTTGTAGTTTGGTAAATAATTCGTGCAGGTGTTCTTTGCCAACAAGGACACGGTCAGACTGGTTATGTCACCCACACCCTAAATTACACTTTATAATCACGGTTGAACCACGCCTGGTACAAAAAATAAGTTGTTGCATTCACTTATCGCTCGATATGCACGCGCAAGCCCCCAGTGAATTCTTTTCAGTGAAAGGCAGGATTGAAAAACAAAGTCATTGCAAGCAAACGCCTTCGAATCTTTGTTGATGCCATCACACCTTGTCATCACATTCTCTCCGCCAGTTTGCAGTTGACACCGGAGGGGCCAAGTTACGAAGAGGAGGAACATTTGCGTAAGAATTCACATTTCATTCCTCACCCCGGGGGCTCATGCAGTGACGGATTAAGGTTGTGCAGGCCCTGTATCATATGTTATAAAGGGGCCCTAAATTAAAACATAAATGTTAAAACACACATTTTTAACTTGCATAGTAAAGTAATTGTATTTTTTTCATTTGCTATACAGCTAGATAATAAGACAAATCGCTAACCTTAAACACCCAGTCGTTCATAAAAGTTGAAGGCGGTATAGTACTATAGTAATAGAGCCAGTGCAGAATCACTGAACCGGAACTGACCGCTTGAAGGCATTTAGCGCGTTGCCCTTGAAAGGGCGGGGCCCGTAGCATATGTAGCTACTTTTGATACTCGGATAATCCGGCACTGTGCTCATGCCAAGCATGTTTTTCCACGTGTCACCATATGGTCCCTTTATATATTTTTAAAGCACCCCAAGTCAATTCGATTAACAGTGGGTAGGGTTGATCTGGAAATAATCTCTCTCAATTATTAAATCAATCGCCCAAAAGACACTCAACGCAATGTACATTTCACCACGGCACTTGCAACGCGAATTAATCGTCATCGCGTCGAATTCGATCCCACCACCCATCCATCCTTGAGAGAAAAACTCCGATAAGAAGGTGATTTCGAGACAGCAGAAGAGCGTGACTGACCACGCGATCGTTCCTACCAGTGTATCCTACATACCACGTGGCATCATTACCAAACTGCGTGGGCAATGTTTGTGTATATTGAACCTTTATCCCACCGTACGGGGCCAACTGTGGTAAACGGAGGTGCGGGGGAAGGACAACAAACTAAACACAAAAAGCAGTTCTAAAAAAACAAGTTTTCAATGTATAGATTTAAAAGTGCATAGCTCCAGTGTTGTGCAAATATCGGAAGGAAGAGCGTTCCAGACGGTCGCAGAAGCGCATGTGAAAGCGCGCGATGCGGTGACCACCTCTGTTCGATGATATTTTTGGGGGCTCAAAGTAAAACAAAAATGTTAGTTCCCCCCAGGACTTCAATTTCTAAACTCCTCGTGAGACGACGGAAGAGAGTTTAGGTAAGAGATCGAGATGGAGTGAGATGAGAGAAATGCTGATACGAAACAGAAAATATAGCAAGATGGAAGTTGGGCGGTACAGACAACATAGACACATTTGTTCTTTACGTTTCTTGACTTTTCTTTTTTACACGAAATATTCGCATCTGATTTCGAGACGCTATTAGCTTCTTCCTGTTTTTTGTGCGTGCGTGTGTTCATGAATGCGGGGAGGGGCACCTTGAGCTGCATGGGTGTCACCTGAAGTTTTTTTTAAATTTTACCTTCGCCGACGCCTCTCGCACGCGCCCCTTGCGTGAGACGCTCCATCGGGGGGGGGGGCGGGGAGCCCTTGGGGGGGGATGGGCGGACAGGCAAGCAAGGTGCTGAATGCTCCTGCTGGGAGGAGACTCAGGTACCGCACCCACAGCTTCACAGCTCCACAACCCCCGCGTTAAGAGAGCCCTCGTTCATCACTGCCGCCGTGCGACCGTCTTCTCGACAGAGCCAGCTGCCGCCGCTTCTTCTTCTTCTCGGCAGGAGCCGTCGACACGCGCCACCATCCAACATGGGTCTGAAACATCTTCATAATCAGGCAAGTGGCGCATCTTTTAAATGCGCGTCTGCGTGTGCGCGCGTGGTGGGTGTAATGAGTACCTGGTGCAATGTGTAAATATCGCCACTAGGGAGATAAATATTCTTAGGTTTTTTCGGTAAAGTCACGTAGGTAAAAAATTTGAATTTCTCTCACTTGATACAGCTATCGTGCTGTGACGGTTCCACCTGAAGACGGAAGCTTGTGTTGCCTCCGAAACGTCGTGATTTTTATTTTATTTTTATTTTACTTTTATTTTTTTACCTACGTGACTTTACCGAAAAAAACCTAAGAATATGAATCCTTGCAATCACGAAAGCTTCAAATCTAGAATTAGGGAGATAAAGGCGGCCGGGCGTGGTGCTGGCCACCCACTCGCTCGTGTGCCGTGCCAGCCTTCATATGTGCTCGCTAACAGCACTTGCCCCTACAGTCAGTTAAGGTTACACGGGGGATCTTTGTCTTTGAGATACAGGAACTCCACATTTTGTGTTGGTTGCCACTGGTTCAATCTGTTTGGATTGCGTGATACATGTCTATGTGCTGTGCAGGTTTAGCCATGAATGGTGCCTCTTTATTGGTTAAATGTCCATTTGTGGATTGGCAGCATTGCATCGCTGCCAAGGTTACGAGTCTAAAACCTGGGGTTGACGCAAGCCAAACATCCCATTCATTGCGGGTATATAATAAGTCATATTTTAAAAATACTTTTTTTTAAACACGCTTTAATGAAATGTACCGTACTAGTAATGGAAGAACTCCACAACTCCAGGAAGTGGCCCCGAAGCTTGCCATAATGTAAGAGACCGTGGCCAATTACAGCCAACGTCAGTTGAGCGTGGACAATTAGACCCAAGCCGAAACATAACATATAAAAAATGTTTTTAAATATATGTTTTTTTTTATGATAGAATATAGTATTGTCATCAGTATGACATAAGTATACGAAGTTTGCAGTCGATGCCACATTGGGAAGTGGGTTAAAATTGAGTTACAAGATTTGAGGATACAACAACGACAACAATGACAACAACAGACAGAGTGAGATAAATAAAAGTGTATAAAAATGAATACCGCCTCGTGGTGAATGAACATTGGTCATGTTCTTACGGGCTGACTTGGCCCTACCACAGCAAAACGTAGAACTTTCCACCACTGGCTCAGTCCTGCCAACAGGGACGAGTGCTCCTGAATATGGGTTTTTCTCAAACGTGCCGCGTCGAATTTGTCAAAATTGATTGCGGTCACGTGTTTGGCGGCTGCCTTTGTTCACATGGTAACTTGTTCCATTCTCCTGCCCAGTCGCTCTCCCCCCAAGTCTCCACTGCAAAAAAGACTGACGTTTTGCAACGGTTGTATAAAATGTACTGTTGCTGATGACAATGGGAGATGAGTGAGTGAGACTGGAAAGTTCTGGCTCGGAATACGGAATAACTTTGCCTTAGTTCTCACCCTGCGTGTAATGGTCTTATATCTACTCCACTTTGCTGTGACTCATATCCCGAGGTTAAGTTAAGTGATGCGGGTTGATGATGATTATGGGAGCTGGAGGGGGGGTATTCGATTATTGAAGTAATCGATTACTCTATAATTGAAACGACAATTTATCGTTTCGATTATTGATTTAAAAAGAAACACACATTTGTTGGCATGAGATTACTCAATGGAGTAGTAGCAATCTTACACTCTTTCCTGAAGCCCTTTCATCGTGGCCAGCAGACCTCAACATTGTCATGTATCGCCTGAATATTTGGCTACCATAATGCGCAAGTTTAGACCATAAAGGAAAGCACTGTAAACGACTGCGAAATAAAATTGTCGATACAGAAATTTCGTCCAAAGGCATTGAAGAAACACGAGACAGACGACCCTGCCTGTGCTATTGCAGTAGAAGCACCATCGCGTTGGTGAATACCACCGTGACGAGATGTTAACTACCTCGCCTGGTATGCAGGGGTCGTGGGTTCGATCCCAACCCTGATGCCTGTATATTTATAGTTTGCATGTCTCTCTCTCTCCGTGGTTACGTGGATGTTGCTCCGGGTCCTCCGGGTTTCCCTCCACATTTAGAATCTACATGCATTCAGATTATTTGGCTGATATAAATTTCCACTTGATGATAAGCCACCTTCTTCAGCTATCATCTGTGGTCAGGTCGCGTCTGAAAAAGAGCCACGTAGCTCGGTGGGCTTTATCTGGCAAAATAAACAAATGTTATTATTTCTAGATTTGAAGCTTTCGTGACTGCAAGGATTCATATTCTTAGGTTTTTTCGGTAAAGTCACGTAGGTAAAACATCAAAATTAATAAAATAAAAATAAAACAAAAATCACGACGTTTCGGAGGCAACACAAGTCTCCGTCATCAGGTGGGACCGTCACAGCAAGATGCAGCTAATCCGGTTGTGACGGTCCCACCTGATGACGGAGACTTGTGTTGCCTCCGAAACGTCGTGATTTTTAAAAATTAATTTTGATGTTTTACCTACGTGAATTTACCGAAAAAACCTAAGAAAATGTTATTATGTTTTTATTCGTTTAGTTTGAATTGAGTCCCTGCTGGCCTCACGCGCCAGGCATGTAACATTTTACTTTTCTTCTCAGAGCGACTATGACGAGCTGAAGGGCTGTGCAGGGAGCCGTCTCATCATTCTGTTCTTCACGGCAACGTGGTGCGGCCCATGCCAGCAAATCAAACAACCATACCACGTACGTAAAGGGCAAGTGCCCGGTGGCGTTGTTGGCCTACTGGGGGCCCGAAGAAGATAACGTGACAGTCTGTTCTCCTACAGCGAGTGGTTTTCAAAACGCAAATTGGATATCGCGCGATGAATGTATTAGGGAACACATTTTTTTTTTCATAACGCGGATGCGAATTGGATATAATGCGATCGAGTAAACAGAACTACTTTGTGTGAGTAGGAATAAGCGGTTGTACGGCTGCCTTGGCATAACATCACGCGAGGAGGGATGCTGCTGGATCCTTGTAGAAGCTAACCACGTGCCTCAGTCTTTGTTCAGCCTGCGTACGCATCTAACATGTTATCGCGGACTGTGCTTTAACCTATCTTGTATATTATTTATTACACACGATTTTTCCATAACGCGGTGTTTTTCAGGAACGCAACTACTACCGCATTATAGAACAGACTGCATTTGGGCTTCCCTTTTTGGATTTATACATTTCTCGTGAGATGACAAAAGAGATATAGATGTGGTGAGATTACATAAACGTAGACGAACGATAGAGGTGTAGTGAGAGAGAGAGAGAAGACATGAATATAGCGACATGAGAGAGATATGCACAATGCATGTTGAACTTCTTTCGCACTGTACGTCACCAACCGTGGTAATCGGAGGTGTGGGGAAGAACAACAAACGAGACAAAGGTGGAGTTTACATGAGAGAAGAGAAATGCGGATGATGCAGATTCGTAAGCGTCTGTTATGTTAATGTTGCCATATTTATTTGGATTAAAATCCGAGCCCGTATTTATCTTTCCACTTTTAATTAATAAATTATAATTCAACGCGAGCCCGATACGATGCGCCGCCGATCACCGAATGGAGAAGCGGTGGGGGGGGGGGGAGTACAAAAGTTCCATGAACAGCAGCCCCATGTTCGAGGCGACAGGGGCCCAAATGAAAGGGGGGGAAACACTGGGCTCACTGCACCATCCAAGTGCGGGTCCATTTATTTTATTTTTTGTTTAAATGAATTCGGGCGCCCCTTGGGCCGATTGGGCTTGCGGTAACGTGTTTTGCTTGCTTTGTGACTGGCTGCAAGGGGTGTTTTTACATTTGTGTATTGTCGGGCACCCCATGTCAGGGGCTGCACTAAAGGGCCACCAGGAGCTGCCAGTGGCCCGCGGGCCTTCCAATATAGAACACTGCTCCAGTGTGTCTCACTAACGACTGCACAAAAACAACCTCTTTATTTAATTCACACTGAGTTCCTCCTGGTCAGCGCTTTGCAACCGGTGCAAGGCAAAGTCCCCGGTGTTTCCTCGGTATTTCCTCGGTATTGTCAGAATCACCGGAAAAGAAAGCAGCTTAGGGTTCTCACGCTGGGACAGACGAACTCTCCTCCGTGTCGTTCAGTAGCCGATCCAGCCCCGACTCCTCCCCCCTCCCCTTTCCACTGGTCGCGCACGCCCAGCACGACGGCAGACGGCCGTCAGCCACCACCCCTGGCCCTCTCAACTCCCTCAGTCACACGTGCCGCAGTTAGGATTTGTTGCTTCGGTATGCCGTGAAGAACGAGCAAGCTCGAATGTGTGCCGTGGTGTTCCTGTGTCCTCGAAACCTCGACCGTGAATTTCACTCTTGAGTCAACCACGACAAAATCGTAGCCTTAAGTCATCACGAATGACGAAAATGTTTTGGTCGTGCCCTCTGTGATTTCGAAAAAGTATATTGGTTTGGCCATGTTTGTTTGTTGTAGTACAGAGTTAGACTGATGGCCTTAATCTAAGTTGTCTTGTGGTTGTTGTTGGTTGTTTGACTTGCATCCCACTGGGATTTTTTCACACAGCGTTGGTGTACGGTGATTTTTTTTCTGCAATATTTTGCTGTCTTTTCTTGGATTTCTGTTTGCTCTTAGTCACATATTCACTTTAAGATGTTTTTCTGTTCATGTTTTTTTTTGTTTGTTGCGGTTGCACCCGATTCAAGAGCCGAATGGCTCACAGGGCTATACCTAATAAATGAACTTGAACTTGTTTAGACGATGGCCGAGAAGGAGGAGTACAACGCTGTGTTCTGCGAGATCGATGTGGACGAGGCCGGGGTAAGATGCTAAACACACGAACATGCTTGCAAACGCGTGCCCATATGCGAGTGCGCACACACGCCTTGAATATCTGATGTCCAGCCAGGATTATTAACCGTAACACTGAGTATTACCAGTGAGGCAGGCTGTGGAACATTTTCTTTTGTATTGCGGAGAGTTGATTAGCGATAGTTATTGTCGGTTACTCGTTAGCTACTATTATAGGTAACTAACTAAATGTGATTCTCTTTAAATGGCGTTAAGTGCAATCCCCAAACCAGCAGATGTGCCACATGTGCTATGAAGGACCATTGCTTGGAACGTCAGCTATTATATAATTTTTTACTTAAAACTTTCGTGACTGCAGATAAGTCAAGTAGATATAAAATACAAATTTAATAATTATTTATTAGATAGAAAATAATAGATAGAAAATTAAATAAAAGTAATATTTAATATAAAATAATATTTATTATTATTTTTTTGATATTTTTTCTATCTACGTGACTTTACCGAAAGAACCAAAGAATATTATATATTTTTGTTTATCTCTTTTGAGGCCACGCAGCGATATTGACGAATGTTATTTGTGCTCGTGCACCACCGCCAACGCAGCAGCATCACCAGATAATTTGACCGTGGCTATGATGTTCATATCAAGGTAAGTGTTTGAGTGAGTGGTTAACTTCAAGCGAATATTTGAAGTGTTGCCTCTGGTTATCAATAATTAAACTCAATACCTTCATCAACAATACTTCTTCCATGAAAGGAAAAACAAATCTATATAACTGCTGAAGTTTCTGGAAATGCCCTTCATCACCGAGAGATTTTTGTATAGGGTTATCTGTTAGGTATTTGTACGTGTATTAATGTGTTGGGTTTGTGCAGGTATTTTCCCCTCTGTGTCTGCATGGTTGCTGGAATCAACAATGAAATTATGCACGCTAATACAAAATTTAGTATTGGTTGACCTCTTATGCCAATAAATTAACGATGGTTATGCGTAAAGTGATTAGATGTTGCTCACAGTAGTAACGTCATGTTGTGGAGTTTGTTTCCATCATGCTGTATGGCCTGAATATTCTCCACGGCAGAGAGAATGATTTGATATTGTGCATTGCACACACTCCACATTCCACTGGCTGGGGCTCACTGATTGTAGATGATTTCTCTCTCTGATGTCTGTTTTTGTTCTTTGCACGCAGGATCTTTTGAGCAGCTTCGGCGTCACCTGCATGCCAACATTCGTGTTCGTCAAGGACGGGATCCAGGTAGTGATCAAATTGAAAATGAACCAACGCTCATCATAGTCATCGTCATCATCCACACTGCCTTGTACATATCTGTACCAATCGAAAATAATTTTACAGCCAAAATCCAATCATCCATGTTGATACAGGGGGAACCATATGATGGATCCTGTAATCCGCTGTGCACCACGGAGGTAAGACCTCTCTTCTGCGGTGATGCAGTGTGCCACGGATTACGGGAGGAATTAGCCACGCGATTCCATTAATCCACAAAAAAAATTGCAGATGACAGGCGAAGCACAGCACGTAACTAGCGGCTAAATTAAGCCATGGTCAATTCGAGAATGAATGGCTACAATTTTTCTAAGAACCAAATCTTCCACATTGGATCGATATTAAAATCTTAGAAATGCAAAAATGCTTTTCTATTAATCTAGATCTGAAGTTTCCGTGACTGCAATGATCCATACTCTTTGGTTCTTTCGGTAAAGTCACGTAGGTATAAAATAAAATTAAAATAAATTAAATCACAACGTTTCGGAAGCAACACAAGCGTCCATCATCAGGTGGGAACGCCACAGCAAGAAACAAACTTGCTGTAGTGGGCACGAGAACTGCTTATGACAAGAGATTATATTAGTTAAGAGGGGGGGAGGAGCCAGGGACGAGAGATTGAGAGGGTGTGGGGTAGGGGGGAGTGGCGATAGTCCGACTGAGCAGATTACGCTGCTAGTTCGAAACAATGCCGGAGCTGGGTAATGAGCTAAAGAAACTGGAGATGCGGATATGAAAGCAAACTATTAAGTAATTAAGATTTTACCTGGTTAATAACATCCTTCCAATGACTGCTCAATTTGAATCCATCTTCTCGGTTGAAGTTATGTCTGTTTATATATCTGGATGGCTTCATGAACAAACCTTTGATAGTAGCCTGACGGTTTGCAGAGTAATTTGGTCTCGGAAAAGACAATATCATGAGAGCCAACAGCATTGTAGCAGTGATCAGCCACGGCCGAAGAATTAGTTCAGCCGTGTTTCAGATCTGCCTTGTGTTCGCGAATACGGTCTGATATATGTCGTTTCGTTTCCCCAATGTAACAATCACCACAAATGCAACTCAGTTTGTAGACTCCAGGGTATTGCATGTCAGGAATAACATCCTTTACGGATGGGATTAGATCACGGATTTTGTGTACTGTACTGAATCGGACCTGGAAAATGTGTTTGTTTAAGATTTTGGAAATCTTCTTGGTAATGCCTGATATGTATGGTAACGTGATGGTTCTGATCGGAGTCTCAGGGGGTTGTTTCTCCATGGTTGGAGAAGTTTTGCGGATAATTCTAGATTTGAAGCTTTCGTGACTGCAAGGATTCATATTCTTAGGTTTTTTCGGTAAAGTCACGTAGGTAAAACATCAAAATTAATAATAATAAAAATAAAATAAAATAAAGATCACGACGTTTCGGAGGCAACACAAGTCTCCGTCATCAGGTGGGACCGTCACAGCCAGATTAGCTGCATCAAGTGAGGCAATGATTCAAGATGTAATCCCTTAAAAGCGAGTTGAGGGGGGAGGAGAATATCCTTTCATAAAGATTTCCAAAATATTAAACAAACACAAGATCCAGGTCCGTAAATGCATTTATTTAGAAAATAGAGGATGTATGACGTTTTATTCTGTCAGTGAGCAGATTATTTATATTTTTCAAGTGTAAATTGGTATCCGTAATGTTGATTTTGCGGCACGTGTTTAATGGAATAAATATAATTCAGCGGTACATTTTTAAAAATGTAAAACCCAGTGTCTTTCCACACCTCCGATTAACACAGTTAGATATGTAGGGTGTCAAAGAAATTCAACATACATAAAATAAATCATGATCCGGTTTGGCTGAAACAGTCCCAGCTTCACAAAAAATATTCCCGGCGTCCCAAAGCATTTGTGAAAACCAGAAAATTGTCCCGGAGTAGTGGGCGGGGTTGGCAGGGGAGTGGACATGACCCATGAGCAGTGCGTGGGGCCAAAGTCAGATTGAGTGAGGAGGACGCCACGCGCTGTGTGGGCGGGATAGTGACTGAGTGGACGTGGCTATTTTAATAGTGGGTGGAGCTGACGGAGGGAGGAGCTGGCCAGAAAATCTCTCCCAGTAATTCGGTCACTTTAAGTAGCAGGAATTCCACAGGCTCATGATGGATTCCGGTTTGTCCTAGGCCGTCTGGGGTATTTCACCCGATGGTAGGTTAGGTATTGTAACTGTGCTGCTTTCCGAGTTTGTTTTCATTTCTCCAATGCGTTCATGCTTTCTTCTATCTCATTGCAGCTGGACAAACTGGAGGGTGCGAGCCTAGGAAACCTGAAAAAACGGATAGAGAAGCACGAGTGAACACGGCACGTGGGAGCAAAGGGGTTCAGTCAGAGCACGGAATGGAAAACATGGCTAAAGTGTAATCGTGGCACCGAATGTGCAAGCAAATGGGATTCTCCCACTGTGAGCGCTTGAGATTGTTTAGTTATGGTTGCCACCTGTCCTGCTATTGCTAGAAACATCCTCTTTTTGAGATAATCATCACTGGCAGTCTATAAGTCTTCTTGGGACATCACACGCTGTTCTCCTGTCTTTCGGTATTGTGAGTTATTCTTCTTCCCTTGACATTTCCAGGTTTTTGTGGACCTCAAAGGTGGCAGACTCAAGCGGTATTGGGTCCAGACCTAGGTGAATTGGCAACAATGACCCCCTCAAAAAAAGTTCATCATTTACCATGATTACATTTGCATTGAATTAAACCTACGTCATGCATATAAGTATGTCCGTTTTGAATGGCCTTGCACTGAAATGATTGCGTGAATTTATTTGGCGTTTTAACACGTAGTGCCGTTAAAAAACATCCATCACATGTGTTTCTTATATCAACATCATCATTGGTCACGTAATTTAAATGTCCAAGGAATTCCCCATGACGTTTGCAGGGAGCCCCCAATGTTGCTTGATGTGGTCCAGCCAATAACGCAGTCATCTCCGTGTCTGCTCTGATTTCTATTCGCTTCATTGCTGTACTTTATTTGACTGGGTTTTTGCTTCTGTCATTGTTGGTAACTCCAAGTCACGCGTGCAAAAGAGAGACTCATCTTGGTCTCTTGAGTTGTCTCCCAGTTCAACGAAATAAACTTTAAACTTGGTAACAAGCTCACAGCTGCTTACGTGCGTCAAGGTGTTTTCGTAAAATGTAGATAATCACCAATGTAATCTATAATTAAATAAACCTATTGGTGTGATCATCTTTGCATTTATTACTTTGCAATGTCATATCAATTGCCACTTAATTAGCAAGTACCATAAACTACAGCTGTTTTAACAACATAAATTGTTACGATGGATGTAACATTTATTATTTGGGTTTATAAACTGCAGTGGATAGGCATCCAGCAGTGTATAGTCCTGGCTGCTGATGATTAAAAACTGTTGAACAGATTTTGATGAATATTAGTGGGTTGACATTGATGTGGAAAATAGCTGCAAAATTGTGTTACATGGAGGTTATTCGACCATGCTTCACCATGCCGGTGAGTGCAAGTTAATTAATATTTTGCACAGGATGGGTTCAGATATCACTTGCCACTGATGTTCGCCATAGCTGGGAATCACACTAGCCAGGTTCATAGCACAAATGTGCCAACCACCACTCCACATCATGAATACGCCAAGCTGCACAGAGTTCATAAAGGTGAGGCTGTTGCACCTCCTATTAGCACGTTTGGCTACGTACGGTGTTAAAGAAGTTCAAAATACATACAAAAATTGCCTCTACTTTAGTGGTTTCTAAAACCTTCAATTTCTGGATTCAACCACCAGTTGGCTTAACAAGATTATTTCCTTAAGATTTAAGGGTGGATGCATTGATTTCCCAATATTTTTCTCACGATTCCCGCATTAAATCCACACGTGACCATGGACGATGTACGATGTTGGCAAGGTGCACAGAGCAGGTCAAAGGAGAAACAATGGAGACGGTGAAACCAGGACAAACAAAGAATCCATTCTTGAATTGAAGTGCGACCCTGAGTCGTGATGAACGATGGAATCAACGCGGCGCGTGTCCCGAGTGCGGTTGTAGCAACGCATGGAGGGCACCTGCAGTCCTGGACTTGGCGGGCATGGATTGTGAATCACAGAGGAGATCATCTTCGTGAGTGAAACACCTACCTGCGCCACCAGGGGATCTTCTGGGATCCCGCGTAGTGGAGTATGATTTCCCTCCAGGTGTCACTTGTCTGTGTTGTTAGGTGGACCTGGCTGGCCATGGGTGAATAGGCCAATCCGTGACCTGCAGATCTTGGCACAGTGGGGGCACGGAGGGTCCATCCTGGAGCTTCCAGGAGAAGACAGTACAGAAAGGAGGCTGTTGACTTCTTCCAATATTTGAGTGTTGTTTATACTCACGCATGGCCATGTCCGGCTATTTCGGTTTCCTCCTTTTGCACGCGCAAGTATTTCTCAGCAGCAAGGAGGTATCTGGCAAAACGTCTCTGACAGGACCCTCTTCATGAGTGTTTAAGTGACTCACACGAGACTACGTCGCCCCAGCTGTGGCAATGTGGGTTGTTTGACTCTTGCTCAGAGGACCATCACAATGCTCACGCGAGCGGGGAGGAAACGGCGAGCGGCAACATAACAGGGCTGCAGTGTCGATTTGAAACCATCGCTCACAGTACACTCAATGTCTTCTTCAGTAATTATGACAGGCGCTTAATTATGATTGGAAACCTTATATGGGCACATAGCTTTGTTGCTCTGCATTATTATGTACATTTCCCCCAAATGCGTTCACCACTGTATGTCATCGTTGTGAAACCGGTCCACATTCAAATGACTGCCTTGGGGATGCATACTCTGTGATGTGTCCTTCCGACAGATATCCTTCAATTGAACAACGAACTTGGAGCAAATGGCCATTGTTTTTCTCGTCTTTATCTGGACAAATTATTTGGTGATTTCTGCTGCTGCTGCGTCTGCACAAGCAGAAATAACACACACACAATATTCAACTCATTGCTCAACTCATTGTTTTGGAAACAATAATTTCAACTTGTAATGCACTGCACACTCATAGAGGACGACTAAGAGGCGCGAGGAGGAACCACAGACAAGCGGCAAGGCAGACACATGACGAGCCAGCGCCAATAATACTGAGTGTTTATAAATGTAGGAGGAAACCGGAGCACCTGGACAAAACTCACGCGTGCGAGGGGGAAACCCTCTATCTCATACATCCGGCACAGGTGAAGTCCACATGTTAGCTATATTGACTTCTCCTTGTGAGCCAGTGTATGACTAAACTTTTTATTTGACCATGTTAAGGCCCACTGAGCTATAAAGCTCTTTTTTAGAAGCGACCTGGCCACAAATGATAGCTCAACGAAGTGGCTTTTCATGTGGACATGTATAGCATCCACATACTCTAAACGCGTGTTGATTCTAAACGTGGAGCGAAAAACCGGAAGACCCGGAGATAAATCCACGCGACCATGGGGAGAGAGATCACGCAAACTACAAATATATAGTGACTTTGATTGTCACTGTGTGGTGCCGGGCTTACGAAGCCACGGCGGGTAATGTGTTGCCATTATGTGTAGTCCGCTTACTGGGCGTAGTACCAGCCCTAGCGGGGCTTGCGTGAGCGCTGGTCATCGCGGAAGCACCACGTAGAGTGTGCGGTGCGGGCTCCCGGTGAGGGAGCAAGAGGGAATGTCAGCCAGCCAGGGTTACGTTGGGGCATGATACGCTGGTTGACCTGCCGACAAGTGACCGAATGATATTGGAGGGGGGCCACCGGTGGACGGGGGCCGCTGGGCGGTCACGTGGTCTAAAAGAGCTCTCGGGAGCCTTCGGGAAAAAGCTCGAGAGATCTAGAAGGTGGGCGGGGCGAGGGACGGAGCCAGCCCCAGCCCAGGCCGATATAACAGGGGCCCCGTGTGGGGCTCCGGGGGTTCTTCTTCGTGTTGCTGAAGATCCACGTCGGGTAAAAGAAGCCTCTAGCCACGTGGTCCGGGACCCAGCTTGTGGTCCGGGCCGGGATAGCGAACCGTGTCTAGTTTGGCTAGATGAGCATTCAACACCCAAATGTAGGTTGTGTTATGTTATGTTGATTTATTGAATAGTGTTGCTCCCAAGACAAAGTCTACGACTCAGTTGGACTCACTATAGATATAACAGATCGAAACCAGGACCTCCTGTAAAGCAGGCGAGGTAGTTAAAACCTCGAAGCCCATAGATAAAGGAATTTCACAACATGTATGCGATCCACCAACAAACCCTCTTCACAACACATAGAGAGGTTGAGCTTTGGGGGGGAAGGACGGGGTGGGGGGGCATTGTGAGCTAAGGCTCTGCACAAGAGGGCTCTACTCTACTTTATAAATGACAGCAGCTAAACTTCCCTCTACAGGAAACCCCCCTTGCCCCCCTACAAATGATTTGGGGGTCGGTGAGAGCTTCAAGGAATAAAACAAAAGCCACGTGACAGTGAGGAGGCAGCTGCTGTGCCACGTGGTGGCCAACCAGATGGCCGTGCTGCAGCAACATCCATTGTTGTACCTATGTTGGATTTTAAAATGTTGCAGGTTTACTCTGGAACACACCGGTGTGCCGAAGTATTAACTAATTGGCACGTTCTATTTACGTCACAAACCTTACTAATTGTCCGTGTCGGATGGTGGCGGGTTTAACGAGACATTTATATTTACGTGATCTAACCCCAAAAACAACTTTATTATGGATGACCTGTGTTCTACTGCAGTGGCATTATCCCACGTTCTTTCTGCATATCCAACACCTTTAACGAACCCGCGTGGCGAAGTGAAGCATGGTTAAATTAAAGCCTCGACGACCCGCAACGGCGTGGGAAGGTGCTCATCCAGCAGTGGATAATCCGGTACATTCAATCATTCGGCGATGTTGCTGCTGCGTTGGCAGTGGTGCGCATATAACAAAGACAAAGACCCCCCGTGTAGCCTTAACATGCTGTTGGGGCAAGTGCCGTTTGCGAGTAGCACCTATGCGGCGGTGGGTGGCCAGAGCCACACCCGGCCGTCTTTGTCTCCCTATAGTGGTGATGTTTACACACCGCACTAGGTACTCGTTTGAGGCTGAGTCGACATAGGGGAGGCCCAGGACCGGTTCAGATAATCGTCACACCTCAACACATTAGTCAACAACACTGTGGCCTTAAAAGGGACAAAAACATGTGGTGACGTTTCAGGCAATGGCCCTTATATTTTTTGTTCCTTTTGAGGTCACTGTTATTTACAAATGTGTTGAGTCCAGCTCAGTGTAATCGGGAGATTTCGGTAGTGACCCTAACCCTACCACTGGGTGGGTTGGGGCGGGGGGTCAATACATTTAACATGGTAAGATTAAAACATAGTTTCGCTTTATTTGTATAGTTTTTAAAGCGATTTGTTTACCCTTTCCTATACTTTGCACTGCTATTGTGATTTTGTATTTTTTGTTGTTGTTGTAACGTTCTGACCCCGTTCCCCTACTGGACATCTGTGAACAAAGAGCTTTATAGTTCATCGGATTCCTCCAGGATAAATATTCTGATTCTGGGTGGGTGGGAGGTTCAATAGCTTTCCATTGTAAAATACAAACAAAAATGTGTATCGATTTTTTAAAAAGTAATTTGTTTACATTTTCTATATTTTGCACTGCTATTGCGCTTTTGTATTTGTTGTTGCTGTGACGTTCTGACCCCGTGCTCAACTGGACGTGTGTGAATAAAGAGCTTTATAGCTCATCGGATTCCTCCTACAGTCTAAACATTCAGACCCAATGAGGTCAATGGGCCACGACCACGCCTCCCGCTCCGTGTGAAATCGTCGCATTGTGATCATCGATCCAGGCAGCGATTTCCTCTTACATCAATCGCAAATCCTATCCGGTGGTCAACATTGCAATTGTTATTTGATGTAAAGCTGGCTTAAACGATGCTAACTACTGTGTGTTTGCGCGGAAGCGTGTTCAAATTGTATGATAAAAAATGTGTAAGAAAAAAAAGCAATCGAATCCGAATCGCGCTGTGCAAATGAGATTCGATTAACGATTCCCAGGCATTAAATGTCCTGTACAGTAACACACATGGCCGTGCACACACGTGTTGTGTTGTACTGTCAGTAAAACACACGTGTTGGTGTAGTGCTGTCAGTGAAACACACGTGTTGGTGTAGTGCTGTCAGGAGTAGTGTACAACTAAATCACATCACGGCTGCAACAAACACACAAACAACTACAAGCGGCCAGCAGCAACGATCACCAACTTCACAAGTTGCAACAACACAACCAGTTGCACCCAATACGTCAATAGTTGACATCGATACTTTAATGCGTAACGCGTTGTAACACGCATAATTGCGATATCAACATCCACGGCACCGCCATGAGCTGGGCCATCGCGAGCGCGGTGCGCGGCACCGCCCGACCCGCCACCCCCTTCGGCCTCCTCCTGCCGCCGGGTAGGGTGGCCCCGAAGCCTGCGGGGCGGCTAGGCAAGCCCGTGTTCTCCTCCCCTCCTCCTCCGCTCGCGGGTCGCGTGTCCCGCCTCAGCTCGTGGCGACGCTTCCCCGCCGGCGTTGGCGATGCCTTGGACAGCGTCCGCACCAAGGTGGGCGCCCTGCTGCCCGAGGGCGACGTGCCGACCCTGTGCAGCGACGGCAACCTGCCCGAGCTGCCCCCCGAGGAGACAGGACGTGGTGGTGGTGGGCGGCGGCGTCATGGGCTGGTCCACGGCCTACTGGCTGGCGCGCAAGGGCGCCACCGCGCTGCGCAAGCGCCAACGCGTGCTGCTCGTGGAGAAAGACCCCCAGGTTGGAAGCGAAGCCCAGGGGGGGGGGGGGCAGGGGGGGCAGGGGGTCGAGGCTGATAAGGAGGGGGGGTCACGCAGGGGTCAAGATCCCCGGCCGGACCCGGAGGGGTTGACCCCCCCGTGACCCCCCCGGCCGGACCCGGAGGGGTCAACCCCCCCGTGACCCTTCCGTGACCCCCCCGTGACCCTCCCGTGACCCTCCCGTGACTCCCCCGGCCGGACCCGAGGGGTTGACCCTGCCGGCCAGACCCTGGAGGGGTCAACCCCCCCGTGACCCCCCCGTGACCCCCCCGTGACTCCCCCGGCCGGACCCGAGGGGTTGACCCTGCCGGCCAGACCCGGAGGGGTCAACCCCCCCGTGACCCCCCCGTGACCCCCCGTGACCCCCCCGTGACTCCCCCGGCCGGACCCGAGGGGTTGACCCTGCCGGCCAGACCCGGAGGGGTCAACCCCCCTGTGACCCCCCCGTGACCCCCCCGTGACTCCCCCGTCCGGACCCGAGGGGTTGACCCTCCCGGCCAGACCCGGAGGGGTCAACCCCCCCGTGACCCTCCCGTGACCCCCCCGTGACTCCCCCGGCCGGACCCGAGGGGTTGACCCTCCCGGCCAGACCCGGAGGGGTCAACCCCCCCGTGACCCTCTCGTAACCCCCCTGGCCGGACCCGAGGGGTTGACCCTTCCGGCCAGACCCGGAGGGGTCAACCCCCCCGTGACCCCCCCGTGACCCCCCCGGCCGGACCCGAGGGGTCAACCCCCCCGGCTGAACAGGCAGCGCAACTCAATTCCATTCTGTGTTCCCTCGTCTATGCTTCCATGCCTTCACAAACCCGCACTGAATCATTATGATCAAATCTTTAGAAAGGGCACCCCCAGTGGCAGCTGTGCCTATGGACATTGCTGGCGGGGGATGATGATTCATCCTCTGTTATTATCGCACTTGAGTGATATGTGGACGTCCAGAATAGACGCCTCATTCGAGATGGTTGCCGATGTAGCCACCAACTGCATCGGAGCATCAACAGACCGATGCACTCAGCTCCTTCATGATCGTAAAATTGAGGACAAGCCACGGTGGGATTGTGGCCGTACAACCATCAACTATGGGCCGTATCGTAGACCCATAGAGACGTAGAGATAAATAGACTCGTAGAAATGCATAGAGACACAGAGATACATAGAGACCCGTAGAAATACATAGAGACCCATATATTAGCGTATTTGCCTCTGATTAGCACGGTTGGCTATGTATGGTGTGAGAGAAGTTCAACATTTAGATCGAGATATGTTGAAGATGACCTTGTATAACATCACTATAGGCCACGCACCGTCAACAGAGGAATAGAAAAACTACACAAACTCCTGAAGCCCTCTCGTCGTGGCTATAAGACCTCAACATTGGCATTTATATCTTGAACATATTGCTGCCATGCAAAAGAATATCCTGAATGCTCTGTCTCCACGCTTTTGCCTCCAGTACAAGCGTGCGTCGTCCGTGCTTGCTGCGGGTGGCATCCGGCAGCAGTTCAGCCTGCCCGAGAACATCCACATGTCCATGTACGGGGCTTTCTTTCTGCGCAACATCAAGGTACACAGCTGCCCAATAAAGATACGTCAAACTTAAAGCGAATTTGCGAAAATGTAAGTTTTTTTCCGCTCGACCTTCTGCGTGAGTGTAAAAATCCACCCGCTCATGAATATTAATCACGGGGGTTGCGGCATGTGGAGTGAGCGACCTTCTTGTGCGTTAGTGTAAATTTTCACGAGGGCATGAATATTAATGAAGAGGGGGGGGGGGGGCTCTTTTGCAGTGACGTCACATACGGATATAGCACTGTGCTGCGTATATTTATTTATTACCGTCACTTTCTATAAAGAAACGTCATATTTCAGGCGATTTTGAGTAAAAAAATATTTAATTCAGCTTGACCTTCCTCTGCGTTAGTGTAAAAATCCACCCACTCATGAATATTAATGAGAGGGGTGGGCCTCATGTGGAGTGACGTCACGTGGGGGGGTGGGCCTCATGTGGAGTGACATCACGCACGGGACACACATCCTTGGCTTATTATAGTAGTAATGTTTGTGTCAGACCGTTGACTTGTTCCATAAATAAGGCATATTTTCGAAAACTATAATGACCTCCAAATGACACCGTGTACGTACGGTTAGAATGATTTTCACATTTTCCCCCGCGAGGTTGCCCAATTTGTGGAACTGTCCCTTCCGTCGCTTTCCACTGCTGCTGCCATCGAGTCCTGTGTCTGTCAACTGCTGCAGGACCACCTGACCATTCCGGGTGAGGACCCCCCCGAGGTGTTCTTCAACCCATCCGGATACCTCATGCTGGCCGGCGAAAAGGAGGCAGCGAACATGGAGGAGAAACACCGCAATCTGCTGTGAGAGAAATTGTGGCCTGCAGAGACAGGCAGTGGCCACGTGGCCCAGCACAGGGCCTCTCCCGTGCGTGGCTGTGGCTGCTGCAGGGGACTTGTGTGTGTGCTGCGTTGCCCCCTCGAGTTAACAGTCTTGTTTCTGCGCTGCCGTTGATGCAGAAATGCCTGTATAGTGGTCCGTAGAACGTTACTTCATGATGGTTTAGATGAGTTTTTAAAAAAGACAGGACGAGTTAAATTGCCTCCCTGCCCAAATGGGCATTGAACAGTGCTTGCCTTACTGAGCTAATAGTAGAACAGTTTACATTCCAGTGGCAGATGCCAGTTTGTTGATTTGGTGATTCACTGTTGATTTCTCATAAATTACATAATCACTTATCACCGTGAACCCCATGAGATGACTGATAGGCTGAGTAGACTTCTGTAAAATATTTGTTATTATTAGTTTATTGCGGCACCGAGGAAACTACGGGGCTGGTATGCGTCGCCTTATCATGCTGTGTCGGTGCTCGCAGGAGAGAGAACTGCAAGGTGGATCTTCTCTCACCTACCCAGCTCAAGACAAAGTTCCCCTGGATCAACACAGAGGGAATCGCCTTGGCTACATATGGTAATGCACTGCCTGCTTCGCTTATAACAAGTTCATCAGTCCACTGATTAACATTGATCCTGGAACATGTGGTATGGTCACCAATAATCTATAATTCATGCAAATTGTATGTCAAATATTTGACATTTTGACCTTTCGACTCATGGAATGGCTGAAAAAAAAACGATTCAAATGATTTCGATTTAAAGCTTTCGTGACTGCAGGGATTCATCTTCTTGTTTCTTTCGGTAAAGTCACGTAGAAGGGAAGTAATAAAATAATAAAAATAAAACATAATAAAACAATTCTCACGACGTTTCGGCTACAACGCAAGCAGCCGTCTTCAGGTGAAGACGGCTGCTTGCGTTGTAGCCGAAACGTCGTGAGAATTGTTTTATTATGTTTTATTTTTATTATTTTATTACTTCCCTTCTACGTGACTTTACCGAAAGAAACAAGAAGATTCAAATGATGATGTAAATATGCAACTTTTTTTATTCATACTCTGCATCATGACCCCCAAGTGCCAATAGCTGCCCCACCGGTGACCCTCAAACGTAACAGTCAAATGGCGTGCAAGGGCTGGATCGTTACGCATGCCAATCAGCAGTCCAACTGTCCCTCCCTCTCCGCAGCCCACTCAACTTGGTAACTTAGCAGTCAGCCAACTGGCTGCTGGGCGAGTTTGTTAAACAGTAATATGTTGCAGAATTAATTTAAATCGACAAATGTATCCAGGAAAGCCTCACAGAGTCTCACGACCCTTTTTTTAGGAGGGTTGTCTTCTCCTGATTAAATTTTTAATGACAGTTTGCATATGCATGCCGGTGTCAGGGTCCAAATTTGCCAAATGTAATTAATTACAAATTACATGGGAAACGCCACAGAGCTACAACAACGCCTGCTCCTGGCAGACTAATTCCATAATTCAGGCTGGCGGTGCGTTCACCGTGTGCCGCACAGGGTCAGCTGCCACCAGGAGTTCTCTCGGCTAGATGACTGCAGGGCATCGGCGTGGTTGCGATGAGACATTGATGCAAGGCGCTTTGAGTTGTTGAGGCATTTAATCAACGCGCCCTAGGAATGCAAAGGTCATCCCCAACGGGAATTCGCTGATGGTGATATGGCTGTCACTACGGTGCGGTGCCTCGGCCAGGGCTGGAGAACGAGGGCTGGTTCGACCCCTGGGCTCTGCTGCAGGCGCTGCGCAGGAAAGCGCTTTCCATGGGCGTCTACTACTACAACGGCGAGGTCACCGGTACGTCCCCACATCGCCGAGTAACTCTTCATTGGATTACACGAAGCTCTAATAATCATAATCGTGCAATTTGTAATGCGCGCAATATTTCACGGACACAAATGACCGTGACTCTTGAGGCGCACAGTCAAGCTCAGGCAAGAGCCAGTGGGGCCTTTTAAGTATCTAAGATATTGGCACTCGAAATATATTTCTACAGAAGGATGTCGACCCAAAGTGACCAATGTAGAAGTAATAAAAAGGTTGCACATAGAAGAAGACTTGATGCAGGCAGTGATGAGAAGGAAATTGGCACTAATTTGGACAGATATGTAGGATGGACAACAACAAGAAAATTTAAAGTGTGTTGTTTGGAAAAATGGAAGGAACGGGAAAAAGAGGAAGATCTAACAGCGAATGGCTTGATGACGACATAACAGATTGGTGCTAGAAAGATGTGGCACTACCTGAGGATTTTGGTACAAGAAGTGGAAATAGATGACAAAATGTGCAGTGGGCACCTGCCCATGGATCATGACGATGATGATAAATGTTAGTGTAGATTGAACGCTGCTGGGAATGTGCAGCGGATGATGGCCGTGTTGCAGACAGCGAGGACTGCCACAGAGAAACGACGCCCGGCAGTGCGGGTCCTGGTCCTTGGTGTGGCGAGAAGGAAGGGTGCGAGTCCACGCTCCTGCACAGAGTTCCACCTTGAGCTGTATCGCAGGGTGACAGGAGCGAGCAAACACACGGTGGATGACCTAGAGTCGAGGCGCGGTGGTGGCACAGGCAGCAGGTGATCTTGTAGCCGATTCTGCTGGGGCGGACAGAAAACCAGTGGAGGAGGGACTGGATGCAGGACATCTTGTAGATGACCCTGCTGGCGATGGTCATTGGTGATCTCCTACAACATTATCCTCTTGCAGGAGATCACCAATGAACAGAATATTTCACAAGGTGCCCACACATGCCTGTTGTAGTGATATTTCTCCTCTGTTCACATGCCCCGGTTGGCTGCTTGCCTTAGTTTGGCGTTTAGAGCCTTCGTCAGTCTCACATGAAACCCGACTAATGGTGAACGCAGTGAGTCTCATGCGTAATTTTAGAAATTGTTCATCTCTATCCCCATGTCATAGGGTTTAAGTTCTCCAATTGGATGGGAAACAGCAGCACTCCGATCATTCACAAGGTCTATGTAAGTCTATTGCCTATCCATTCACCAGCTTACCTACCCACTCACCTGCCTATCTATTTACCTACCTACACACCTACTGATAAGTCAGCGTACCCACCTACCAACCTACTCATCTGCCTACCCATCTACCTACCTACCTGCGCTAGCACCCACCTATCTGTCCACCTATACGCCTAGCTATATGCATACCCACACACTACCTACCCCCACTACCTACCTACCCACCCATCAATAATACCACCAACCTGCCTACTCCTCTACATACTTACAAACGTATTCACCTGCCTGCCCACCTACCTATCCACCTACACATCTACTTATCTGCCTGCTCACCTTCATGAGTGTATGCTTACCATGGTACCTTCAGATGCAATTCCCTACCTAGCTATCAGTACTAAACTAAGCACCTCTAAACACACATTTGCATTATGTCCATACTATCTACAATTTTACAAAACCAATGCATTGGTACATACCGAATACCAACCTACCTAATTGTATATCTAGCTTCCTGCCTATCTGACAGTCACCAGTTTACCTATTTCTACATCAATCTACCTTGCCATCCACCGATCTAGCTTTTTACCCACCAACACACATACTTCCCTACCTGCATACACACCTACCGATCTACCTGGCTATCTACCAGTATCTATCCACCTGTGTTTGCATGTGTGCATGTGGGGAGTGGTAGTGTAGCGGTTAGTGCGCTGCACTACGAACCTGGCTACCCGGGTTCGATTCCCGCTTATGGAAAACACCAGTGACGATTATCTGAACCGGTCCTGGGCCTCCCCTAGGTCGACTCATCCTCAAATGAGTACCTGGTGCAATGTGTAAACATCGCTGCTAGGGAGACAAAGGGGGCCGGGCGTGGTGTTGGCCACCCACCCCCTCATGTGCCGTGCCGGCATTTATAGGTGCTCGCTAACAGCACTTGCCCCTACAGTCTGTTAAGGCTATACGGTGGATTTTAGTCTTTGTATATACAAGTGTTTTTGTTATGCGAGTGTGTGTAAGTGCGTCTGTGTGCATGTGTATACGTGTGTGTTGCGTTGTGTGTGTGCGTACGTGCACGTGGGTGCAGGTGATGGCGCCCCACAGCCGCGTGTACCAGCCCGTGGACTGCTCGATGGTGGTGAACGCCACGGGCGCTTGGATGGGCCAGGTGGCGCGCATGGCCGCCCTGGGCTCGGACGCGCAGGGCCTGGGCGCGTACGGCCGTGTGACCCACACCCTGCCAGACACGCGGCCCGAGTTCGGGCCCCTGCTCCCGCAGCTGCCCATCGGGCCTAGGAAAAGGTGACAGTGGTGAGGGGGCGGTGGCAGGGGGGTTTTGATCGTAGCTACAAGGTGGCGTGAGCGGCTGTGAATGTGAGGACATCTTCAAATAGTTTTGAGCACATTGGAAGCCGTGGTATTTAATGAGCACATCTCCATAGTCAAAAAATGTGAACATATCAATTCTTTCCGAATTGCAGTGTTGATTGGTTGACATACTCTGTCCGATCGCTGGGGGCAGTAGGAGCACTAGAGGCACTTAGCAGTCCTGGGGTGCGGCTCATGAATCTGCGGAGGCCAATTGAGGCTGGTGGAGCGCTTCACGCTTTAGTGTTTCCTCAAGAGTAAAAAAAACAATTTGAGAGACAATGGTTTGAAATGTATTTACGGGTTCTCTTTGCCCTTGTGAAGTTACGCAACTTTGTGTGTATAAATGTACAAATCACAAATAAAAAACTATAATGGCATTGGCAGCGGTACACAAGCACGAAACATTCAACGGCATTTGTCATTAAAGGCAAAATGGTGAGTTAGCGACACGACTTCCAGAAGCCACCGGTTCAGTCTCCTGGCGCTGCAGGAAAAAAGGAAAAAAAAATTCCCACTCCAGCCTCTCTCCACCGACTCGCAGCATAATTGATACACGTAATGTTTGGCCAGCGTGGAAAATTAGGCCAAAATAATCTTCTGGAGGTGGCAAACTTCTGCAAGCGTTGGTGGGATGAAGTATTTGCAGGGCGTTGCTTTTATCTTGACCTGACGGTGGTGTAACTGCGGCGTGGTGATGCCGTGGTGGTGGTGCCGCCCGCCGCGTGCCCAGGTACGTGTTCGTTTTCCACTGCCCCGACGGGCCGGGCTTGGACTGTCCCCTCGTTGTGGACCCAAGCGGGGCCTACTTCAGGAGGGAGGGCATCACAGGCAACTACATCGGGGGCATGTCTCCTCCACCGGTACGCGCACATGTTTTAACTAACACCCGTGCATTCATCCTCATCGAGCTCGTGACCATAATTCAATAGAAGATGAATGAAACAAAATAAATGTTTAGTTCGGTGCAGACGCAATACTGTTACAAATGTGAGGAGAAATCGGTCATTGCAATCGCTTTGTTCCGTTCTCCGACCATCTGACATTTCTCCGCGTCACTCTCGATCTCACTCTCTTCTTTGACATCCATATCAACCTCATTTTTGCAATTACCATCTCAGGGCCCTCCGCTATTTACGTCCGCTCTTCACCTCCAACATCGCGAATACTCTTGCCTGCAGCATCGTTGGGTTGCCGCTCGACTACTGTAACTCAGTCCTCATCTGGTCCACTCTAAGCAACAAAAATAAGCTGCAACGCCTCCAAAATCACATTGCCCGAGTTGTCCACGGCCCCTGCAACCCTCGCCCTGACTCCCTGTCCATCCTTCGTGCCCTTCATTGGCTGCTCATTTCAACCAGATTTATCCGGGGACCCGCCATACCTAAGTTCTCTGCTGACGCCTTACGCTTGAATTGTTAAAATCTTCGCGGTGCGACACAGAACCTCCTTGAAACTCCCAGGGCAAGGACTGTAATTGCTTGTTGTCGTTTCTTCGTTGTTAGCCCCCGTCATCTGGAATGCCATCCCTATTCTCATCCGTAAAAGAATCTTCGTTCAAAAAGCATCTAAAATGTATCTCTTCAGCTCAACATTTAATGGAGTCTCCCTGGAACCGCGCGATGCAATCTGACACTGAGCTCGGCTCCGAATTGCGTCTTCGATCCACAACATTGCGTGCGTTATGAATTGTATTATTCTTTTTAGAGTTGGCTATTTGGAACGTCGCATCAACGTTTTAAATTGCCTCTCAAATGACGAGGGTTTCCTGTCTGTTCAGCTGCTGTGAGAATGTGGGGCGGTTTTAGGCTTGAAAAACGATCCACCAGTTAAAATTTCTTAATGTCAGATCTTTGAAGCTTATCATGGTTGAGCTTGGATTGTGCTTGAATGGGTGACCATTGCACCTACAATTAGCACGGTTGGCTACGTACGGTGCAAAAGAAGTTCAACATACATAAAAAACTAGCTGAAGGCTGGTGTGGTGGCTGCGTTGTCAACAAAAGGCAGTGTAGCAATATCCATTTGCTATAATCGACTTCGATGCTTTTACGTGTATGCTCCCCGCTTTCACCAACCCGCCCTGACCAGCGCGGTGAATTATAATCGTACAACTCCCACAATGTTGTGCGACGTGGGGAGGCCCTCATCCAGCAGTGGATTAACAAAAAGACTTGCACGTGTTGATGTACGATTTCCATCCTATTGGTGAAGGAAACACTGGCCTGAAAGAAATATATACGAGGTGACATTGTGATAAATGGCCCTGCTTTATTTATGTGCAATGAAAAATAACCATTGCTCGAAACAGCACCTATTACATATATTAAAGCAGTGTTATTGACGAACGTGTTAATTTTTTTGTGATGGACAAAGCAATGTTTTGGCAGTGGTGGCTATGCACGTGACCTGTAATCCAGTACTGTGGAAACTCCCTTCCCATGGGCGTCAAGGAGGAGCCATACCTTGGCTCACCAGAAGAATGCCATACAACAAGTGGACTAATCTCCATCTGTTTCCATCTGGACAACGATAGAGTGTTGCCCCCCCCCCCTCCACCTCTTGCACGCTTGGGTTTCCTACGGGTGCTTCAGTTTCCTCCCACGTCAAAACACTCATCAATAATTGGCTTTAAAGATCTTCCAATAAAAACCCAACACAGGGCCCTCTTTAAAAAAAAGAACTTAGTGTGGCTCTCCAGGGTATATAAATTAATATATTTTAGATCATAAGGTTGGCGATGCGGAATAGAGCGTAGAGAGCTTGCGCCGGGCGAATCCGTGATTGGGGCCGGGCTGCGTGGGGTTGTCTAGGACGAGGAGCCGAGCGTGGACAACCTGGACGTGGACTACGACTACTTCCAGGAGAAGGTGTGGCCACTACTGGCACACCGTGTGCCGGCATTCCAGTCGCTCAAGGTGAGGCTAGCACGCGCGACAAAGGCAAATATCTCCCCCCCCCGTTTAACCTTTAACAGACTGCTGTTAGTGAGCATCTTATATATGTCATTTTTCGTCTGTCTGTCTGTGTGTGTTCACGCGCTTGCAATAGATTTGGCTCTCAAACGGTGGGGTTTCCGAAAAAAAAAATTTGCCAGGTACCACGCCGTAAGCCCGGCGGTTGGCAAGCGCAATTCTTTTTTTCACGTCCGTCGCCTTTAAATTAGTTAAATTAGCGATTTAGTGAGATTTTTCTTTATTCGATTATTTAATACGCGCGCTCGACCACACCAACTCATGCATTTTTGGTGGCGGGGACGGACCATGCCAAGTCACACGCGTTCGGTGGGGGTGAGGGGAAAATTTTGTTTCGCGTTAAAAATGCTACAAAAAAACACAACGTTGAGGTACATTCTTCACTGTGTGATGTCCTCTTCTCCCCCCCCACCCCAATGCGTACAGTTACTACTATGAAGTCCGTACATATTAATATAGCGCTTAGATCATATTTTTGTTGCGCGGCCGGGGGGATGGTGGTGGGGGGGGTAGCGGCCCAGCCCCCAGCCTATTGGCTGGGCAATCTAGGCAAGGCCGGGGGCTCTGCACGGGACTAAGCCTCACCACGCCACTCTGTCAGGTTCGTGGTTTGTGGTTTGTGCTTTCCAGTCGATATATACTGCTATAGAGTCAGCATGTACTACTGTTGTGATAGCACGTACCACCACAGTCAGTATGCACTGCTGTAGTGATAGCAGTGCATAACGTCGATCTGTGTGTTAGTCAATGTGTGTGCGTGGTGTGTGTGTGTAGACAACTACTAATGAAAAATTAACTTACTTATTTTAACAATAATAATGCGTGTGTCTACGTCCATGTGTGCGTGTGAGTTGATGTGCGTGTCTGCGGTGATGTGTGTGTGTGTAAGTCGATGTGCGTGTGTCAGTCCATGTGTGTGTGGCTCTATGTGCGTGTGTCAGTCCATGTGTGTGCTTGTGTGTGTCTGTGTGTCAGTCGATGTGTCTACGGCAATGTGTGTATGTCTGTGTCCATGTGTGTGTGTGCGTCGATATGTGTGTGTGTAAGTCCATATGTGTGTGTGTAGGTCCATGTGTGTGTAAGTCTATGTATGTGTCTGTGTCTGTGTGCATCGATATGTGTGTGCATGGGTCCATGTGTGTGTGTAAGTCCATGTGTGTGTGTAAGTCCATGTGTGTGTGTCTTAGTCGATATGTGTGTCTTTGTAAGTCCATATGTGTGTGTAGGTCAATTTGTGTGTGTGTGAGTGGATATGTGTGTGTAAGTCTATGTGTGTGTGTTAGTCGATATGTGTGTGTAACTCCATGTCTGTGTCTCAAGTCGATGTCTGTGTGTGTCAGTCCATATTTGTGTGTAAGTCGATGTGTTTCTATGTGTGTGGGTCGATGTCTGTGTCGCCCGGGCAACGCCAGGTGCTTACCGCTAGTCACCTATAAAGGCTGGCATAAAACACGGGGAGGGTAACACCATGCCTGCCTGCCTTTGTTTCTCCGGTGCTCATTTGTTGCCACACAAGGTACCCATTTAAGGTCGAGTTGATCTAAGGGAGGCCTAGGACAGGTTCAAATATCCACCGCCAATGTTAGCTGCGAGCAGGAATTACATTCATGTCGCCGGGTTAGTAGCACAATGTGCTAACCACAGCACTACTTTCAGAATTGATGTGTACGTTTTAAAATCGTACCAGTGTCACAGCCCACATACTCATGCTGCATTTCCCATGACCACTGAATTCAAGCTGGTCTGGCTCATGAACCATGCAGGTTGGCGTGGTCCAGATTCCCAAGGCAGCTTTACCACAAACCACAAGCGGCAAACGTGTTACCGCTGCGTCGTTTTACTACCACCCCTCGTGGCTCACGTCCCATTGCGCCTACACATCCCTTCCCTCGCATTCCCACTGCCAGGTGCACAGCGCGTGGGCCGGATATTACGAGCACAACGAGTTTGACTCAAATGGGGTGATCGGCTTCCTGCCCGAGGTGCCCAACCTGTTGCACGTGGGCGGCTTCAGCGGGCACGGGCTGCAGCACGCGGCTGCCGCGGGGCGAGCTGCCGCCGAGATCCTCGCCGACGGGGAGCTCACCACGCTCGATCTGCGCCGCCTCACGCCCACGCGCATCCTAGACGGCGAGCCGCTGCTCGAGGACTATATCGTGTAACGCTCGCAGAGGGAGTTGGGTGCAGCGGTAAGGCTTGAGTGGGGTCTTTCTCAGGGCTTGGATAGGAATCGCCACACGTGAACTCGCACCTTAACCACTTGTATCATGGAAAGATGGATGGGGGGGCAGCCTTTCCCTTATGGCCGAATAGGGCTTCCAGGGAAGCGTGATGACAAGTACCTTGCCCACTCTTACATGCCGTTTGATCATTGCTTGAGCATTGACGTGGCCCTGGGTTAATATAAATAGATTTGGAATGTTATTAAAAGTGCATTCACCCATGGTAGATCTTGCCTTTACATTGTTTTGATGCCCCGAACTGTACTTAAATTGCATTTGATTTGTGTTGTTCAAATCCAGGTTACTGTGTTGATATCAATTCATTTCATATACGACTATGGGAGATTGATTCTAGCCTTGCCTTGTTCTCATGGCCCGTGTCATTTATGTTGCCTAGTTACCCTCTGAGAGCTTTGATTACAACGATGTGTTTCTTGTGCAAACTCGTTGGTACTTGTCTTCCCTGGCCTTGGACATTTGCCCTGTAATTTGGTGTTATCCTGACAGGTCTGCTGCTATACACACACCGGGACAAGATTTTCCTCCAAAATTCGTATTTATTTAATTGATTTTACATTGTGAGAGAGAGTGTTGAAGGATAAATAAATGGAAAATACAAGGTATGTGACTGGGCTCCTCCTCGATGTGACTTGTTGCCTGCTGTTTGAGATCGAGGGTCCTTCGGATACATTTTGATCGAGGCCTCTTGGTGGTTCTCTACATATTCTGTACCGGAGGCGTGAGCCGAGATCGACCCTCACACTCTGTAAGCCATACCTCCCAAGCACAAGGCTACAGATGCCCACGGTGCCCAACTAAAACCACACTTGGCACTGTAAGAGCACGTAGCGTGTACTCACTGGCAGCAGAGTCGCCCAGTGAGTATAGTTGGCCGCCGACAGCCAGAGTTGTCCGGATGGCTCTCCACATAGTTCGGCTCCTCCAGCTGTTGCACCAAGGTTTGGCAAAGGTGGCAATGGTGCACTTCCGGTCCAGGCCAGGCTTGACCCTACAGCCCCGTGCGTCGAGGATCAGCCCGAGGGTGGCATGGGCGGGCGTGTTGTTTGGTCGTCTCCTGTGACGGAGCGAGTTTCAAATAGCCCCTCTAGACATACGGGGTGTGAGTGATATAGGAAAGAAAATATTTCTACAGGGGGCATGGGTTAACCACGCTAATTCTACAACTTCACAGAAAGAGGAAACTGGGTGAAAATTTAGCGTGAGGCACGAGAGAGGCAACGTGGGGAGAAAGGATAAAACCACCACCATGCAGGTGGTGTCTGAAAACGAGGGCTCCTCCGATGGCTGAGATCTTTTGCAAGCTGAGATGTCATCTCATCGTATATTATCAAGTTCCATCAATATGCTAATGATACACAATTGTACACTGCAGTGAAGTCAAAGTTAGATATGGAGAGCTTCGGTAACCCTGAAGATTGCACGCGAGCAGTGCTCGTTTGGTTTGCATCGAACTAAATGCTGCTTAATCCAGGAAAATTGGAGGTCCAAACCAGTTTTCTTTCAATTCATCTATGGGACCCTTTTTCCAGTATTAAGATGGTAAAAAGAAATAAGTATAACCCGTAAAAACAAAGTTTTTCACTCTAAATCCTTTATATGCGTGGCGGCTAGAGTCCTCTCGTCCTCTGGCTTGAGATGGCTGCCACCTATGGGTCAGATGATTGTCTGCAGTATTAAACAATTGGTAATTAAATATAATATTTTTGTCCTATAAAGTGTAACATTTTGGAAAAAAATTTTCACGAACATTAATTGTCACGCACAACGAGTCTGTGTGGAAAATGTCAACTCGATTGGATCATGGGAAGTGGGTTAAAAAACGACCGAAAGATTTACACGGTCGTAAGCAAGCAAGCACGCAAGCAAGCAAGCGAACTTAATATAAAGGATTTAAAAAGAAAATACAGGTGTTAAGATGTTCTTTATGATTGCAACTCATTGGCAAATAGTCATTGTCAACCCACCAATACCAAAATCTCTTCAGCAGTTTTTATTCACCATCAACCAGGCTTATCCACTGCTTGATGTCTATCCACAGCAGTTTTTATAACCCAAGAAATGCACTTTACATACATGATGTAAACAAATAATTTTACTTAAACGGTTGGTAATTGCCAAATAATTGGTAATTACTGTACATTGGAAAACTAAATTAAAACGATTATCACACATTAATTGGGTTTTAAAATAAAAGATTACATCGGAAAATATGTTCCTTACATTGTTAAACGTTGACAATTGTAAGCAGCTGTGAGCATGTTATCAAACACCCGGCAAAGATTGTTGTCTCACTTTTCATGAAGGAAACGAAGACGCATTTAATTACTGTATTATCTGGCTATCTCGCTGCCGCCCTGTGACATTTTGCTGGTCACTGTTTTCTCCCCGCTCGTGTTCGCATTGTGGTGGTGCTCTGAGCAAGAGACAAACATATCACATTGCTACAGCTGAGGCGAGTAGCCTCATATAGACAGTCATCGACTTACGAACTCCCGACTTACGAACATCCACACTTATGAACCAGCTTCCATTAAAACATTTTAAACACAAACTCGCACTTGCGAACTGAACCGCAGAAATATTTTGTTCAGTGGAGAGATCCTCTGCGATATGTAATGAGTCAACCTCGTTTCTGGAGTGAGTGTTTGTCTTTGTGCGCGCACACTTGTGCCTGTGTGTAAGTGTGTGAAAGTGATTGGAAAGCATAGGCCAGATCAGCTCAATAACATCACTTAGTGGCGAATGACAGTTGTTGTTGTTGAAAGTGAATGTGTGGGGAACGGTTGTGTAGCGGTTAGCACGCATCGTTACCAAAGTGGCGACACGGCCAACACCAGTTACGATTTTCTGAACTTGTCCTGGGCCTCCCGTAGGTCGACTCAGCCTCAAATTAGTACCTGGTGCGGTGTGTAAACATGCCACTGGGGAGAAAAAGGTGGCCGTGTGTGGTGCTGGCCACTAGCCCCCTCATGTGCCATATCGGTCTTCATAGGCGCTGCTCGCTAACAGCACTTGCCCCAATAGTATATGTTAAGGTTATATTGTATACGGGGGATGTTTGTCATTAGTGTGTGTCTCTTTGTGTGCACGTGCACATGTTCTGTGTGTGTGAAATTCTGGCTACTCATTGCACCCCTTCCAACAAGCAAGCCAGCATCAGGACTTAAGGTAAGTGACAATAAAACAAATTTTTGTTTTCCCTATTTGTTTATTTTATACTTTATATACTCTATTTTTACAGTGTTACATGGAAATGTGCAATATTTCTTCTTGTGAGTTTAACAATGCTCGTAACATTTTATAACACTGACTGTATGGTCATTTGAATAGAGTGCATGATTTTCTTCCGACTTAGGAACCGATTGACTTACAAACGGTTCTCGGGAACGAATTGTGTTCGTAAGTCGATGACTGTTCGTACTTCACACTTACGCTATGCGTTTCACAGTTACGCGCTAAATAAGTAAGAAAAACATTTTCAATGATCAAATTTTTAAGTTAAAACTATGCATTTCCCAGGTTAAGCTACTAAAATATAAATGTGATAGAGTCACCACGTTATGGCAGCGCTCAGTGTTGCCACGGGCTGGGCGTAGCCACCTTATTAAGTCATCTTTAGAAATATAAGTATTTTAAAAGCCTTATTAAGTAATTATTGTAATGTTCATATTATTAAGCATTACAGTTATACGTACAGGAGCGTCTCGCTTAACGAGCGAGATACGTTCCGCAAAACATTGCTCGGAAAACGAAAACTCATTTAAGCGGACATCGTTTTTCCATTGACTCTCGTGTTAAACGCTGAGTTACGTTTCAGCACCGACATTTTCCACTCTTAACGTTTTTAACGTGAGAAATACAAATAATAATAAAAAAAAAAGTAAAAAAATAAATATAGCCTTAACAGACTTGAGTCAAGTGCTGTGGACAAGCACCTATGAAGGCCGGCACGGCAATCAAGGGGGTGGGTGGCCAGCACCACACCTGGCCGCCTTTGTCTCCCTAATAGCGATGTTTACACACCACACCACGGACTAATTTGAGGCTGAGTCGACCTAGGAAAGGTCCAGGAGCGGTTGAGATAATCTTCACTGGTGTTGGCCGTGATCAGGAATCGGATTCGGGTCGCCGGGTTCGTAGTGCAGCGCGCTGACCATCACACCACCTACCTATTACAGTGCCACCACGAGGCCCCCCGTCTCCCACACCACAAAAAACGCGGGGCATTCAGCACAGCACAGCTGGTAAACAGCTGCGGGCCACCGTGCACACCCTGCCGCCACCGGACACAGATTTATTGATCGGTCTCTGCTCAATAAGCGAGCATTTTGCTCGTTTTGCGAACCAATTGGTCTAATTTCAAATTGCTCGTTATTGCGAATTCTCGTAGTAGGAATGCTCGTAACGCGAGATACGCCTGTATTTTGGAAATCCAGGGCTACAATTATGAAATGATTCCTAATTTTCTTCGGCAACATGTATGTTTATGGGAGAATAGGCTTTAGACAGTGCGATTCGACTTGTGTGCTGTTTTTCAGGAACACATCACGCGTTATGCGAGGGACGGCCGTACATTGTAAAACATGAAATGTAACGGTGATCACACAGGCAGCTGTATTTAAATGAAAGGTTATATTCAGTGAATATTTACCTTGTACTATTACACATTCATGTGCACGCGCAGCTGTGAGCATGTTACCAAACACCCAGCAAATGTCTTTATGAAGGACGTAATTACGTAACGTTTTTCCGTGAGAGAACAATGGCAGAATAATGAGAAAAGATATCCTATTGTCCAAAAACAAACACCGTTTGAAAGCGTTATTTGATTGAGGGTAAGAATAAAAAGGTTGGAACAAACCCACAGACACTCAGTCAGCAGACTGCATGATTGACGGACCACCAAGTAAGTGTACTCCAATTTTGTACTATAACACAACAACACAGGTAAATGTAATGCTCAGGTCTTCGCGATCGATATGCTTCATGTAAGATTTCTGGTAACTGCCGAACGATGCCGTGTGTAACTTACTCGTGACACGTCTGTACCCAATAGTTCAATGTCTGTGTGGATTTCTCTCCAACATTACTGGTCGTGCTGAATCAGCAATACATTGACGCATTTTTTTCACGTGACAACTTCAGGTGGAGGAGAGTTTAGGACACACGTTTCAGTTATGCGATCTTAGCCAACAATCAATAATGAAACTAAACGGGTATTCGTATTTTAGTCATAAGGCTGAAGATAAATTCAAATGCTGACGTCGCCATCTGTAGATCGTGACATATGCCCAAGCAGCAGTAGCAAGGTTTGTATATCTGAAACAGGAAATGTGGCGTCTCTCGTCGGGTGCTCAACGTTTAAATACCCGAGTGCCGCCTTGCTTGAACTCACAATAGGATGGTGGCACTTACGTCGTCTTCCCTGAGCCAGCAGTGGAAATTCCACATTCACGTGGCACAGGGCTAAAGTCTGTATTAGGACATCCGCCATTGACTTCCCACAAAGTGGAACTCGTTTTATCGACCGAGGAAGGATGATGGGCAGTGTCACACACCGACCTGGATTTGAACTCGTAACCTTTTGATTGTAGTTGAACATTCTTGATATAAAAGTGCGTTGTTTTTTGCAAGGTAACGAAAATACCTTGCGTTTGTATGCTATTATCTGAGAGTTCAATCAGTAACTACTTGGACTGAGAATTGACAGCGACTTCGTGAGCAACGGTTTATGCATTTCATACTGAACGCTCCTCCAGTTATTACTTGCAGTTATTGTGTCAGAGAATTTGGGTGAATTGGATCTGTGAGACTAATGCCACATCGATCTCACCTTATTCCGTGGGGCCATGCACCTGTTTATAAACCTGTTCATAGGATTATAAGAATATATGGTAGTATTGCATAGAAATCGTATTATGATGAGGGATATACTTTATTGTACTGTCGCGGTAGTGCTTTACACCGATAATGCATAGTACAAGCCAGCCAGCCTCACAGCGATCAAGGATATATCGAGTGGGAAATGTTGCCCTGCCTACAGGTCGAGTGCCCCCTTGCTCCAGGTCAAAGCTGCCTGTGCCCGTCACGCAGGCTGATGGTGCCGTTTTGTGTTTCAGGACAATGAAGCTCGTGCTCGTGTTGGCGGCGCTGGTGCAGCTTGGGGAATGTGAGGACACATCCACATACCCCACGATACGTGAGTATTGAACACAATTCTGTACTTCATCCAGCCCGCCTCTTTTCCATACACGTGTATTACCTGGCCTACAGCAGGCAATGCACTTTTGTAAACCAATGACTTGGAGGTGGGAAGGTTTGGTGGATCATGAATGAGCGTCTTGATAAGAGCAGCTTTCTGTGCGGGGTGATGGTGTTGACTGCATTCAGACACGCATCAGTATGCATTTTCTGTTTATTAACACGGCCTGACAGTAACACTTACTGACTAAAGTTCCCAGTCAAGGCAGCTGGTAGACTGCCTGACTGGCGACGCCGAGATGGTGAAGACGGAGACAGCGGCGAAGACTCCAGCAGCACGACGGGATTCCACTCGAAACGACAGCCACGAGGTCCCCCCCCCCCCCCCCCCCCCCGGGGCCTCTCTTATACTGTCAGCGTGGCCCGGCTCTCCGGCTACTAACTATGGATTTTAATGGGACATCAGGTTTGTGAATTTCTAGCAGCCCATAAAGTCTTGGTGGTTTTGATGCCCTTGATTTGATCAGGTATTGCTCTTCCTTGGAAATTGATGACTTGGCATGATTGCCACTGATGAAACTATCAACGGCATTAGAACATCAACAGGCCAATGCACAAACATTTTCATGAATGGGAAATGAAAGGCAAGCCATAGTAGTGTGACTCCGAGACAAACTATGGACTATACAGTAAACCACTGTGGCATGCACTCCTTCAACAGAGGAAACAGGATAACTACCCAAACTCTCTCCTGAAGTCGTCTTGTGGTGAATATAAGACCTCGACATTTGGTACGTGTAGTGACGTAATTGATGTTACTTCTCTGTGTTAGCGCCAGCCACTATCATAGGAGTGCTGCTGAGCGCCGAGAACTTCCCTAGGAGGCTCGAGGGACACGTGACAAGGAGCCGGGAGCTCCTGACTTGATCCTGGAAGGGGCGTGGCCGAGGGCGGGGGCGAGGCCGTGGCCAGGGAAATAAAGGGGGAGCCCCGACAGGGAATGGGGATCGTTTGTGGGGATCGTCCTGGAGTCTCTTCGCTCTTCGGTTCGTCGGGTTGAGTCTTAGCTCGGCATCGTGGGTCAGGCAGCGTGTGTGCTGACTGGCCCGTTCGTTATAGTTGACTCCCACACACATAGCGGACGGTATAGCCACACCTAGCTATAGAACCTGAAGTGGTTAGAGAAGTTGTTAATTGATGTGTTGCCTCCAACTCTAGTGTGTGCATCTCTGTAACTCACACTTCACATGGCTTTTGAACATTTTTCTGCCATATGCAATAGAAAATAATTTTCCACACACGACTGGACGAAGACCAACTTATGATATTGGCATCCTTCCAGTGATGGTATAACATTAGAATTTATAATTATTCTTCATCCAATAACAATTATAATTGTTCTTGTCGGTCACTGTGTGTCGACTGTGCAGCAGTTGCAGTGTCTGGCAGAGGGTGCAAAGTGTTGGCAATGAGGCGTGGTGGCATCAACGGCTTTGGCTGTGATGGTTGAACTTGTCCAGAAAAGCTTCACTGAATCATTGTTTTGAAGGGATGGTTGTCAGCAGAGGTCCTAAACGGGTTTTGATTTCTTACCCGTACCTGTACCCGGCCGCACCAGGGTCGCAAACGGGTACCCGTACCCGGCCGTACCCGTACCCTACCCGTACCCGGCCAGGTACGGGTAGGGTACGGGTATCGGGTACCTGATTGCGACCTCTGGGATGAAGCCATGTTGCAGGCGCGGGTGGGTTGATTCTAGGAACTTGAATTGTGAGAACAGACAAGACGTTGAGAAATGAGTGACAAACAGTTACTCACCAGTGACTCACGGCCTACCCGTACCCGGCCGCACCAGGGTCGCAAACGGGTACCCGTACCCGGCCGGGTACGGGTAGCCGGGTATCGGGTAGGGTACGGGTATCGGGTACCCGGTTGCAACCTCTGGTTGTCAGGTTCACAGAAACCATTGCGTTCGTGGGACACAAAACCGACAGGGTTACGAGGTGCCTGAAGGTGGCAGTACCGAGACTAGGCTGCTGATCTACCCACATGAAATGTTTCGGTTTTTCTGCGGTTTATTCCCACGAGCATGAATGTTCAGTAACGAGTTGGTAAATTATTTCAAGCAGGGTCCTCCCAGCAAAGGGTCTTATAGACTAAGAGACGCTTTCTTGGGTAAAAAAACACACGTCTAAAGTCCCTTCACGTTGAAACAAACATCAACATCTGTCAATGCAAATGTATATATACACACACACCTCATTTTTACCCGAAAAGCACCTGCCACACTATTGTGTACAGCGTCTAAAGAGGCAGTTGTATTTAGGCGTCCTGTAATCCAAAGTGAGCAGTCACATGTGCTGAGCTTTCATTGTGGTCGTTCATCAGACCATCATAAATCGGAGACCGCCTGTACTCGTCTACGCCTCAGATAATTAAAGAAAGGCGGCAGTAATGAGGCTCCGAAAAAGGAGACAGGGAGAGGCAGGGAACCTGAAGGGGATATATTTGGCAGTAAACGAGAAATGAGAGCTGAGAGGAATGTCGGGAGAGTTCCTAAAATATTCGGAGAGAGAGTAAGGGGTGTGTGTCATGGGCTTGTGGCTCCCAAGGACGATATATAAGGAACAAATCAGGAGGACCTCTCCACAAATATGGCTGTCGCCTGATGAAGCTAGTTCTAATTACTGGCGAAACGTCGTACTCAGATTGTAAATGTTGTGGCTTGGCTCTCCAACACACCGGTTAGTGCTGTACTAGTATACTACACTATACACTACACTACTATACACTATACACTACTATACACTACACTACTATACACTACACTATACACGACTATACACTACACTATACACTACTATACACTACACTATACACTACACTATACACGACTATACACTACACTATACACTACACTATACACTACACTATACACCAGGGGCGGTTTCTTCATTAGGGCGATTGGGCGACGCACCACCGATGTTATTCAACCACAGAGTCACGCTAGCCGTCACTGTGCCTCTGGATATAGTCCAATCAGCGTCATGTCACGTTCTGTGGAGTACCGCCTCTTTTTGGGCGATTTCACTCCGGCTGAGAATCGCCCCGAGTAGCCCCATAGACTTACATTCAAAGATGTTTTTTTTCGACCGGGAGGGCTCGCCCTAACGTGCTTACGTCATCATACGTAAGCACGTTTCATCCAACAATATAATTTTGTCGCCACCTAGTAGAATCTTTAATAAAAGAAACTTGAGTGGATTGCATTAATAGTGAGTATAGAAACAAACAAGATGTATTGTAAGAGTCACTTTATTTTTCATTAATATTAAAGAAGTGAAGTTGCCTTTACATGCTTAAGCTGTTAATTTATCCATTGCATGGGTAGACCTTATCCTTATCAATCATCCAGACATTTGCCCCCCCTGAGAGATTTTGCAGGAGCCGCCACTGCTATACACTACACTACTATACACTTCACTATACACTACACTACTATATACTACACTATACACTAGTGCTATACTAGTGACGAATTGGCACGTTGGCTGTGTCGGGTGGTGGCGGGTTTAACGACACATTTATATATTTACGCGATCCAAAAACCCTCTATTATAGACGAGGCTTGCTGTGGGTGTGTCGTGGTGTAAATGGTGTGAAGAAGAGAATAAAGACTTACGGGAAGACTTCGGTCGTGTGGACTCCAGTTCAATTGGATAAATAAAAGACTTAAGTTGTTTATGTGCGATATAATTTAGAAACCCTGATTAAACATACTTCACCCTGGTCGTCGCTATAATAGACAGCACAACATCACGTATCCGACTCGCTGAGGAGGCATAGGCCAACGTTGTAATAAGATCGCATAAGTTAATATTTATTGAAAACGATAGTGATACAGAACTGTGTTTGGTTACACTGCATTGGGTGTGGCCTGTGTATTGGTTAAATTGGTGAGTGATATGTAGAGCGGTAGGGCACCGCTCCACATATCACTCACTCTCCTACAAACTGCAAATAATACACAAGTGCTCTCTCTCTTCTTCACCTTCTAGGCACAAACGTGGCCATACACGGTATAGCGACGCAGTTCAGCACCTTTTGTGACCAGAGTAACTTTTGCGCAGAAGCTTCTCTCGCCATTGACGGGAACACGGACATGAACTACACCAACAGCAAGTCATGCGCGAGCTCGAAGGGTGGTTCTTATCAAAGTTGGTGGAAACTGGACATGAAGGAGGAGGTCCCTGTCCACGCTGTGACCATAACGTTCCGGAGTGACTATTGGGAAAATGCCATCACATCACATACAATCTACATTGGACAATCTTCGGACACCACAACCAATAATACGATGCAAGTATATCACATTTGGAATATGAACATTGCCTGCTGTTCCTCGCATTCAACATTATCGGCATTCATAACAGTCTACACAAACCTCGCCACCATCATTATGACTTGATTATTGAACCAAAAAAATAGAGTATGCTAACCGTTTGAGCAGTGGTCCATGTTCAGTGGCCAGAAAAAGGCCCTTACCAAAAACATTAGCTGACCACCTGCTACTGAACCCTTAACAAATCTACTAGAAAAAGGCGTCTGGCCTTAGAGTACAGTTGCATATAGAAGATGCAAGGATGTTTATGGCAGGATGAGATAAACAACATGTAAGTTCCAAATAGAACATGGAAGGAGAGTGTAATAGTTGTAATCAGGAAGAGGTGGTTGTGATGGAGCATATGTGCAAGATCGGGAAGGACAGGTAACTGAAACAAGCCCTGGAGACACCCAGAGCGTGGGAACTATTTGGGAAGACGTAACGCCAGATGGTGGTGATGGAGATTGTAAGAGCAGTCCTCAGAGGTTGGGTGCTGACTGCGCAATTGTTTTGGGGTGTTACAGAAGGAAGCAATGGAGAGCTATAGTGGCATCAACGACATGTCCTTGATGACCTCTTGATCTGAATATTGCGACTGAAGATTGGCTGATTTCCTGAGAAACACAGGAGGCTAATACAATTCCTAGCGAGAATTCTGAGCCAAAAACCTGGAAATTTTGGGTTAGAATAGCATACTGTAGTGATGTCACGAGCCGATTATGATAATACAATTAAAGATTTATTAGAGGAAAGTACCTACATTAAAATTAAACGAGATCCAACTAATACATTGGAACGTAAGACTACTGCAATCATTGCAAATTCATTAATCCCAAAAAATGAGCAATTCCTAATTAAGCCAAGGGCTTCAAAACCACCTAGACTGTATGGGCTACCAAAGATCCATAAAATCGGCATCCCATTACGACCCATAGTCAGTACAATTGGCTCTGCCACATATAAATTAGCCAAATATGTAACTAAACAAATACAGCCCTACATCGGTAGGACATCTTCATTCATAAGAAATTCAGAACATCTTGTGAATGTGATCAAAGATATTAAACTTAACCCTAATGATATTTTGGCGAGTTTTGATGTGATTTCGCTATTCACTAAGGTTCCAGTGAGCGAGTCGCTTAAATTACTTGATACACTGGTAAAGAATACAGGTTTACCAAAAGATATTCCGAAACTCGCTGACCATTCTTTAAATAACACTTACTTCTTATGGAGAGGCGAATTCTTTAAACAAAGGGAGGAAGCAGCAATGGCCTCTCCTTTATCTCCTGCTATAGCAAATTTGTACATGGAAAACTTTGAAACCAGAGCACTTGCCTCGAGCACATTAAAACCATCCTTTTGGTTTAGATATGTAGATGACACTTTGGTTGTCTGGCCACATGGTAAAGATACACTTAACGATTTTCTAAATCATCTCAATACACAAAACCCGGCCATTCAGTTCACTATGGAAATGGAGGTGAATAATACACTCCCGTTCCTCGATATTTTACTTGGGCATGGCCTAAATGGTAAAATAACACACAGCGTTTACAGAAAGCAAACGCACACTGATGCCTATCTGAATGCAGATTCGCATCATCACCCAGCTCAGAAATCCTCTCTTATCAAGACGCTCATACATCGGGCTAAAACAGTGTCAGATGGTGAAAGTCTAGTGAGAGAGATTAAACATGTTAAAGAAGCACGAAGACAGAATGGCTACAATAATGCTCAAATTAACAGAGCACTAAATGCCAAATCACGATCGCAAAGCAACACTGCTGAAAGCGATCAGATTGTTAAAACAATAAAACTACCATTTATCTCAGGAGTAACTGACAAATTAGCCCGTGTTTTACAAAAGCAAAACATTACAGTAAGATTTGGTACAGTACACAAAATTCAACAACTAGTAACTTGCACTAAAGACGAATTACCTAAATTATCAACAGAAGGTGTATATATCGGATTAATTGTTTATGTGGCAGATGCTATATTGGACAGACGGGGCGTAACATTAGTGTAAGACTAAAAGAACACCAGAGAAATATTAAACTATCGCAAACACAACTGTCGGCAGTGGCAGAACATGCATGCCAACAAGGACACTCAATTAATTTTGACAACGTTGAAGTGTTGTGTAAAACTAGTTACTACTGGCAAAGACTAATTAGAGAATCCATTGAAATTGAGAGAAACAAAAATAACTTTAATCGCTCAGACAGCTACAGGCTTAGTGCGGCCTGGAAGCGTATTATTAAATAAGATACATTACAATTCCTTATAAGGGAAACAAACACTAACTGATTACTAACGTAGCATAATTACAATAAAACATATTCCAACTGATTATTATCTACAACTCGCATCGTAACAACTGCCTGATTACTAATCTAGTATATAATTACAATAACCCCTCCCCCCCCGCCTCAAATCTTTGCACCTGATGAGTTAATGAGTTAATGATGACGTCACCCTGCTGCTACTCTATATAAGAACGGGAGACAGAGCAGAGCCTCACCATTCTGGCGAATTGCCCGATGATGCTGGATGCAATTACCAGCGAAACGTCGTACTCAAGAATTGTAAATGTTGTGGTTTCACGCTTCAACACACCGGTGAGCTAAAGCAGTGAACTATTTTTATTTTGTCAACGTGACACTTTTTTACTGATTGGCCCTGTCGGGTGGTGGAGGGTTACGACACGATTATAAATAATGCGATCTAAACCCAAAAACGCTGATTATAAATAATATTGGTCGCGAAAGCCTACGTGTTAAACTAGAATAGCAGCCTTTCAACGAACACACACAATCTTACGTGGAGTGCATATTATGGTCTCTCGTCTGACTGCGCGAAAAACCCATCACAAATATTTCGTCATGCCCTGAACCGAGGCAAGGTCACGTGTGGGTGGACACGTGGGGGCCTCATAGGAGCCTCACGACAGCGCGTGCGGAACACAGTTCTCCTCTGTGGGGATGTAAAAAAGATGTGCTGTCTGCAATAATCACCATCAGTGACTCTGTGACAAGAGTAGGGCACTGTGTTCCTGTAATCGTACCACAAATCATATGGCTGAAATCTCAGATAGAAATGTATTCAGGGCCACAACTGGAGTGGCACTCATCATCAGTGGTGCCAATTCTACATTCCCAATGTAGGGGTCAATATTCCTATAGGATAAACACTGTTAGATTCTTAAAAAGTGGAGCCTATTTTATTGGCTCCAGAGGGATAATGGATCAAATTGACTCCTGATCAGGATTTGAACTTTTCATGTTTCGACTGTGGATCGCATATTTTTTCCAGTATCTTCCCGCTGAATTTTACCAGAAAAAAGATGACACTGGAACAACATAAATACTAAATGTCTAAGTAAGCATCGAACTGCTGTGTGGATATGAAGTGCATAGCCAGAGTTGATGTTAGTAATCGCAACGGTTCTATATTTGTTGCAGGTGTAAAACTCTGGAGGAGGCTGCCCAATCCACCGTGGTGACATTTAACTGTTCAGGAAAGAAGGGACGCTACATCTTCATCAACTCCTCGCGCTATGCGTGGTTGAGTTTATGTGAGGTGCAAGTCTCCACTGCTCCTCTCTTGAAAAATGAAAGTACGTGACGCAATTCTTTGGAGTTTATTCCTCCATACCAACCTGAACAGGCGGTTGTTGGCCGTAACCTTTTATCATTCTTGTATTAACTGTGTTAAATTACACAGCTTTGCATTAAGCACTTAACACTGAGCCAGCACTGATGAAATCCCAAGTCCACAGATAAAGCCAAGGTGTTGAGTGAAGTCTTAGCAATCGAGCGATTCTTAACGGGCAGGTCATAGCAATGAGCTGCTGAGATACTGGGTTCGAATTTTAAGCTTTAATAAGATTAAACCAAGATCAGACGTGTGGTGAGTTGTTGTTCTCAACCTGATCACCAATGACTGCACCAAAAGTCTTATTTTAAATTTAGATTGCGGATAACTATACGTATACCAGATCCGTGAACTGTAGATGTGAGTTTTGTCATGCAATGGACACTTTTCAGGGCATAGTGGTGACTTCAGAAGTCATTCAGGAACATCATCTATCGGGGCCACTCTCGCAATCAATCGCGATGTTGCACTGCTCACCGCGAGCTCTACAAATAAAGATGTTTTTTTCCCCGTAAAGACTTGTTTCACACAATTAAAATCTAATTAAGATCTTTATAAATCATCTTCTTGATTGGAAGCTTTCGTGACTGCAGGAATCCATACTCTTTGGTTCTTTCGGTAAAGTCACGTAGGTAGACAAAATAATAGATCACGACGTTACGATCGCAACGCAAGCGACCGTCTTCAGGTGAGAAAGCCGGCTGCTAGACACGGCACTATATATATAGACCCGGGAGGGGGGGGGGCTGGATCGGCAAGAGGGCGGGGCCAGAGAACTGACTCTGGTCGTGAACCGAATTGGTCGTGAACCGAGGCACATCTTCCCATAGGGTTCAATGTAAATCCGGTTAATCCGTTCTGACCTTTTTTTTTGGTTTTTGAAGCACAAAAATATGAAACAAATGACAATAGACATTACTGTAGTACTGTACAGTATAGTAATGTATAAAGAGAGAACACTAACCTTGCTTGAGATGACTTCTGGCATGGAGGAAGGCAGGTGGGAGGCGGGTGGGAGACAGTAAGCACTCAAACAGGTGAACTGTACAATACAGTAAGTACAGTATTGTACAGTACAGTAGTATAGTACAGTACAGTAGTATAGTACAGTACTGTATGTGCTAAAAAGCACACCAAAAATCAAAAAGTCACTGAAAGTGTCTTCACAGTACCCACAGTACTTCCTTCTGTGTCTCTGCTTCTCTCCACGATCTTCCTACAGGAAGTCACGACCATGTGACAGCCTGGAATTAGCATAAAAATCGCCGCGGCTCCTGTTCGTGAACCGAAGCGGAGTTCGTGAACCGGAGCATATTTTTATGAAATTTTCTGTTCGTGAACCGAGTTGTTCGTGAACCGAAGTGTTCGTGAACCGAGGTATCACTGTACTGCACAGTCCCTGGAGGGGTAGAGGGGGGAAGGGGGAGCGGCCGCCGCACCTGGCAAAAGGGTGGGGGCCAGAAACCCGCACAGACGCGCGGAAGAGAGAGAAGTGCACCGACCGCAACACAGGTGACCGTGAGAGACACACAGAAACACCACAGCCAGTCACAGTCCGCCACAACACGAGCGTCACAGCCACATCAAGGGAAAGGAGCAGCGGCGGCCGTGCCGGTGAGACATCCAACCTGGCAATGCAACTCAGAGAGTCGGAAATAACTGCTAAAACTCGGCAGGTAGGAAGGAAACATCACGGCCAGTTAAGACTTTACCTACTTAATAACGTCCTTCCAATGATTGCTCAGTCTGTACCCGTCTTCTCGGTTGAAATTGTGTCTGTGTTTATATATCTGGATGGCTTCATGGACAAATCTTTGATCGTAACCCGAAAGTTTGCAGAGTACCTTGGTCTCGGAAAAAACAATATCGCGTGGGCCTACCGCGTTAAAACAGTGATCAGCTACAGCAGATGTATATTGGTTCTGCCGTGTTTCAAAATTGCCTTGTGTTCGCGAACACGGTCCGAGACATGTCGTTTCCTTTACCCAATGTAACTGCTGCCGCAGACACAACTTAGTTTGTAGACACCAGGGTATTGGAGTTCCCACTGTTGAGGATGCAACAAAGTCCCGCGTAACCTTTCCCAGTCTCAGGCAAAGCATGCAGGTTGCTTTATTTAAACCAAAACGTGTGAAAATGTGAAATCATGATGAATCAATGAATGCCGCCTTCCCACCAGAACGGTTCTGCTGGGTAAGCTGCACGGGCTGCCGCGTGTCCATCCAGTGGAGAAAGCTCTGACGAGGCCACCTCAGCCATTGCATTCCAGTCACTAAACAAATCTACCTGCATACGTGAGGCCTGAGATTTCGACAACCTGAGACAGAATTTGTAGCCGCCTCAACATGGAGTCATGAGCCGTCGCTGACTCCTTGTCATGAACATTTTCTTTGACCAGTGAGCGTGGCGTACGGGGAGGCGATGCAGTCGAGCACAGCCGGGCCCGACCACAAAGCGTCCAAAGCCATCGACGGTACAAACGGCACCAACTTCTGCAGTGGGATGTGCAGTGCCACCAGCTACGAGTGGGAGCCCTGGTTCTGCATCGCGCTTGACCGCGTGTACACGGTGGACGCCGTCAGGATCACCAATCGAGACGACGCACAGGGCATTCGTCTCTTTGGAGCGCACATTAAAGTGGGAAATTCGTCCAATCACAGCAAGAATGCATTGTAAGTAACACCAATACCGATTATTTACCCAGCAAAGCCTCGCCTGGTCACCCAAATATTTCAGAAGCGTCCTACATTGGGACAGTTTATCCATTTCCATGAATGAGTGTTTTGGTATTTGGGTAGTACCTGGAGAAAACCCACACATTCGAGGTGATACTCAACATTATCATCTCCTGGTCACCTCACGATCCAACATCTGCATAAACTGGCCATGTGTGGTGATCTTATCCATTCCAAGTACGAACCAAACTTAAACCTGCTTGATTTCTGAGGGCTGGCAACTCGTAGTGAGTCACCTGCGGGATCTAGCAGAAGTAAGGAAGCGATGGTGAGTCATGGTGGTATTGGTCATAGTTACCTCTTTCACGTGAACGTAATTGTTACTTCAGCCATTACGAGGTGGGGGTGGGGGAGGGGGTACAAGCCCCATAGGTTAATTTATAGAATTGTCACTGCTGAATGTGCCACCTACACTGTTTTAATTTAAAGGGTTTTTTTTGTATGAGAGTGGCCACAAAAACAATACTTCAGATTTTTACGATTCAAATGCTTTCGGAGTGGAGACATAACTGCGGCTTTTGGCGAATTCTGAAGCGTCTTGCTGCCACGTGTCCACTCGTGCTGTGTGCTCCTGGGTCGTGCGTTGCTCTGATCGCTGTCGCACCGCTGCGCTGTCTTGCAGGTGCGCAGAAGACATCTTTGTGACTCCGGGCCAATCGGCGCGCTTCCTGTGTCATTCACAGCAGGGCCGATACGTCTTCATCGTCATCCCTGGGAGGAAGGACTCGCTGAGTCTGTGTCAGGTTAAGCTCGACGTGAAAGCCTATAACTTTAATGTGAAAATGGTTTACTAGCCTCAACTTTAATATAAAAGTGCTTTCTGGGCGACATCGGTACATCAGGTAAGGGGCGCCATGGTGGCGAGATGTTAACTACCTCGCCTGGTATACAGGAGGTTGTGGGTTTGATCCCGACCCGATGCCTGTATATTTGGAGTTTGCATGTTATCCCTGTAGTCACGTGGATTTTTCTCCGGGCTCTCCTGTTTTTCCCTCCAAATTTAGAAACATTATTTTCAGAGCGTAAAGAAGAGCCGACACCAGGTTGCAGGGGGTTCGTCTTTTATTGCTTCCCCCAGTTCACACTCGTCCCCAGCCTTCTCTTTCCATTTCCCACCAGTTCTTCCCCTTTCCCACTAATTCTCTCTCATATCTCCTCACCCTCACCTGCTCCTCCCCCTTCCACTGTCCCTGCTCCACTGTCCCCCTCCTTTTGGCGGGAATCCTTCCCCTGAAATCCCTTACATCACCACCCCCCCCCTGGAATAAAAAAAACGTCCTCGGTTTTGCCAACCCCATCGACCATTTCAGTCTCCCCATGAGCCCCCCCCCCCCCCCCCCCCACTTACAGTGACAACAGCCCTTAACCCCCCCGCAATCATACAATTCAATGTAACACAACAACAACATCAATTGAACGGTCTGCCTGGGTCTCCAGCCAAAGCCCCGTCTCTATAGCCCCTGCGACCTCTGGTCGTGCCGCCTCTCCATCAAGCCTCACATGGGGTGCTGTAGGTGACAAGGGAACACAGGTCAACGAGTGGTGGCCGGCGACCTCGGCCTGGGTAGGGGTGATGATGATGGCGGTGACAATGGCGGTGACAATGGCGGTGATGATGGCGATGATGGAGGTGGAGAGATATATGGCTTAAGGTGGGTGGGGTGCACAAACCATCATCGCTTACCCAGTTGGACCTGGACGCACTGAGGTTGGAGTGCTTAAGGAACCAGGGTCGGTGCAATTTCGGTGAGAGGCCAACCGGCACCTGAGGACAGTGTCGCCATGCCTGGTCCCCGACTTTAAAGGGCTTGGCTGTCACTGTTCTCTCACGTATCCGTACATTGCTCCATTGGCTGGTGGCCGATGTGGCCTCAGCTGCTTGGCGGGCTTCCCTCAAGTAAATGAGGGAGGCCTTTAGTGCCTTTGGCCATGCAACGGCTCTCGCGGGAATGTCCGTCAGCTGCATCTCAATAGGCGGGACGGGATCTCGTCGAGAACCCCATCGCTGCGTGTGGGGCCACCCTGTATGCCGCTAAGACCGACGGGATGTGGAGGTCCCAATCGGAGTGGTTCTCGTCCACCACTTTGGACAGCATGGCCGCTATGGTGCGGTTAAGCCGCTCGACCATCCCATCGGTCTGGGGATGATAAGGAGGTGTTCAGACCTTTTTAGTGCCCAGGATAGAGCAGACATCCAACGCGACCAATTCGTTGACCCTGGTCACCATGATGGGCTGCAGGGGCGTCCGGGTTACCTGGGGTGGTGGCTTCCGCCGCGCGCATTCGACGCAGGTTGTGACCCATCGGTGCACGTCAGCGGTCATGCCTGGCCAGAAGTACCAACCCTGTAATGTGGACAGTGGCTTCCACCCAGCCAGGTGTAGCAGCTGGCAGCAGTGCACGTCCATGACCAATTGTCGACGCAGCGACTCCGGAACCACCCGGCATCACTGGCGTTCCGCCGGGTCTAATCGCATGAGGAGGTCCTCCCAAATGACATACTCCACTCCCCCTACCTCCTCCTGCTGTAGACATCTCCAACCGGCAAGGTAGACCTCAGGTCGTGGTCGAGATGATTGTGGCCGATGCCCCCAGTTCAACCAGGATGTGTGCCGACACTTCCGCGATTGCACCGACCAGGACCGAGATTCCCGACACGGCCGCTACCACCCACCTTGCCAGCTTCTTCCATTGTGTGGCTGAGTCTGGCCACTGACCAGGCGGCGGCTCGCTATCCTGCGGTGTATGGCGAGGTGACGGGGATGTATGTGAACAGGCCGAACATGTGGTTTCCTCTTTTGGAGTGTGTCACAGCAGGGTGAATGCACCCTTGTTACGTGGGGTGGGCTCCCCACTGGGGTGCGGGCTGGGCTCACTGTGTAGTGTGAAGTGCCCCCCCTTGTGGTGTGGGGTAGCCCCCCCATTGTATTGGGAGGTGGGAATTGGGGGGTGAGCCTTCCCGTGAGCTCTTCCCCACCCCCTCCCCTTCCTTTGTTGCGGGGCGTGGGCCCCCTTTATGATGTGGCCCTCCCGGTCCTGTCTCGCTTCGCCGCATTGCGAGGGCGAGGCGGTGCGCGAGACGGCTCCATGGCACACCGGCGATTGCGTGTGCTGTCTCAGCCCCGGGGGGGGTGCCCCTAGAAACTCGCCGGCATTGCAGGTAAACAGCGACGTCACCGCGCGCGGCGATGTCACTTTCGACCATGACGTCACTTCGGGCCGCGACGCCACTTCCGGCCGCGACGTCACTTACGACCGTAACGCCACATCCGGCCGTGACGCCATGTCCGTCCGTGACCCGATTCCCGCTCGCGACTCGATTGTCGACGTGATCCCCAGCCCCGTCGCAATCCCCGGCCCCGTCGCAATCCCCGGCCCCATCGCAATCCCCATCCCCCAACCAGGACGGTGGTGCCCGGGGCCCGACACCGATGGTGCCCACCCCGAGCAGGCCACCGGTGAGGTCACGGTGTCGGGAGTGTGGATTGCCGGCCCGGCCAACCAGGCCGACGCTCTCGTGTGCCAAGTGATCAGGATGGCGTCACTCGCCTGGTTCCTGTCGGTGTTTAGCCCCAGTGGGTTCCAGGTGGAGTTGGCTGCCTCCGGCTCCGTGCGGCTCCCCCTTGCCACATGCCCCTCTCGACCGCAATGGTGGCAGACCCATGGGGCGTTTTGTCGGGGCGGCTCGGCGCGGTGTTCTAGAGGCAGCTGTCAGTGGCGCGGCGGCTGGTTGCGCCCCTGGTCTCTCTGCTCCGCTAGCCCCCGGATCGCTGCGTAGATCTCTCGCAGCGATGGCTCCATTCCCAGCTGCCACGTAGACAGCATGTGGCTACGGTGCAGGTTCGGCGATTGGCGTCGCTGGCCCTGGTAGCGCCAAGTTAACGGCCCAGCTGCTCCCCCCCGCTACGTTAGCCACCTGGCCCACGGTTAGCGCCCGGCCCATGACCTGTTCATGGGCTTGTAGGATCTGGGCGGCCTACAGCGAGGTACATTCATCCAGCATCACCACTGGCTTTATGACGCTGGCACGGCAAGCATAGGCAACGAGGTGCTCGACCACGAGGTTTTCCAGCGCCTCGTTGGCCAGGCGAGGGAAAGCCCTACTCGCCAACATGAGCAGCGCACCCCTGTAGACTACAGGGGACTCTCTAGCCCCCCGCTGGTGGTCTTGGAACCGTCTAAAGGCGCCCTCAGCTAGGGAATAGATCTCCCCCAAAACCTCGTAGGCCGCCTGTAGCGTTGTCTTGCTGCGAGCGCATCGTCGTCCAGAACAAATGGCAGCGCTCGTAGCGCCTCTTCGTCCGACCATTCGAGAGCATGGAAGGCAGCCTCGAATCTGTGGACAAACGCCTCCCAATGACCCCCCTCGGCCTCAAAATTTTCGACAGGCCCCAGCCGGTGCACCCGTCCTGCCACCTGCTCCTCTCATTGGGTGTTTAGCCCTGGCGGCTTCGGCTGGAGCGGCGGTGGCGGCTGGCGTGACGGGGCTGGTTGCGGCTCATGCCTGGCTGGCTGATCGGCCGCCGGGTCCCGTGGCGCCTCCTCCCGTTGTACGAATGGGAGAGAGGGTCCCGGCGCCAGCGGGCCCCCCATAGGGAGCCAACGCAGTAGCTCCTGGAGTGCCCTCTCCACGCGGGCCATGCGGTCCTCCATGGGGTCCTCCATGGGGTCATCCATGGGGTCTGGGGCCCCTGCTGCTGCTCCTGGAAGCAGACCCCCTTGTTGCCCTGGACATGGGAGATCCCCAGACCCTGCTTACTCTTCTGTCGGCTCTTTTCTGCGGAGGTTCTTCCTTGTAGCCATTGTTGATCCCACCACTGCCACCAGATGTAAAGGAAAGCCGACATCAGGTTGCAGGGGGTTCGTCTCTCTCTTATATCTCCTCGCCTGCTCCTCCCCCTTCCACTGTCCCAGCCCCACTGTCCCCCTTCTTTTGGGGGAATCCTTCCCCTGTCATCCCTTACAAGAGTATTTGGCTGCTATAGATTTCCACATAAGCCACTTCGTTGAGCTATCATTTTTGTCCAGCTCACTTCTGAAAAAGAGCTATAGCTCAGGTGGGCCTTATTTAGTAAGATTAAATATCGATTTAAAGCTTTCGTGACTGCAGGGACTCATATTCTAGGTTGTTTCGGTAAAGTAACGTAGAAGGGAAATAATAAAAGAATAAAAATAAAACAATAAAATTCTCACGACGTTTCGATTGCACACAAGCAATCACCATCAGGTGTGAAAACCACGGCAATAAAAAAAATACATTTTGAAAAAAAAAAAATTCTTGCTGTGGTTTTCACACCTGATGATGATTGCTTGTGTTGCAATCGAAACGTCGTGAGAATTTTATTGTTTTATATTTTGTTATTTCCCTTCTACGGGACTTTAACGAAAGAACCAATAATATAAGATTAAATCGTTTAGTTTAAAATAAATAGTTGATAGTTTTAGTATACAATTGTAGTTGACATTGCCGGTCTCAGTGATGCTGAAGAATACGCAAAAAATCATGTCCAGTCGATTATAAACTATTATAATGGATTTCTAAATTATTTTTGGGTCAGATTGCATAAATAAAATGTATGTTGTACACCGTCCACCCGACAGAGACAATTGTCATGTGAACAAGCGTGCCAATGTATTACTGCTTCAGCACAACGGAGAGCGTTCAACACAAATTTTACTCTCGCGGTCTGACCCAAAAATGTATTACGAATCATAATAATGGTCTCGACAGGCCACGTGTTAAATCATTTAATCATGTACTTTATTTCATAATTTACAGTCCCTTGTCAATTCACTGCTGGATGGAGGCCTCCCCACGTGTGGTCATACTCACGTTATTGGTTGATATGGGTCGTGAGAAGGTAACTCCCAGGACCGGTTCAGATATCAATCGCAGCTGGTTGTTTGTCATGTCCGGGAATCAAACTCGTGTAACTTTGATTGCTAGTGCAGTTCGCTCACCACTGCACCACTATACCACCCGTTTGTACTATTTATTTGCATTGTCATAGAATGAGGAGTCATTTGCGCACTGCGCGCTGAACCCATCTCCTAGGTTTGAGTCCCAGCAATGGCTAACGTCAGTGGTGAATGAGAGAGATCTGCACCAATCTTCGGCCTCTCCCCTTCTCAAAGAATCCCCACAACCAACGTGGAAGTGGATTGTCAAAGGGATGTAAATTACATTGCATGCATGTATTCAAAATATATTATGGAAATAAATAACGATGTTGTATTCAACCAATAAAATGTCACTCCTTTTGAGGAGAGTCGTACGTATGACCAGTTTTGTGTTGACGGCGTGTTGTTATTCATTGGACGTGACCATCCATCCTTTAAAATCATGAAGAAATTACTCCCTTATAAAAGCATAAAAAAATTGGCTTTTTTTGGGTGGGACAAACGCAAACACGTAGTAACTTAAAACGTATAACGGTAATAGTTCACACTCAACTGTGGTATCGACGGACACAGAAATAGATTGTTCATCCTAACATGAACCCTGACACACTATACAGTGCATTTCGGCTCGATACAGGGCTGACAACATATCGTGTGGGTGATTTCAGGGTAGTCCATGTTCTGACATAGCCTGACCAATGGGAAACTGTTTTGTATGCGGTCCCCTTCAACATGCATAGCACCAGGTCCAAGACTTTCACCCCCACCTTTGAGAACTGTTAGAGCTAGATTCCCATCTATATACTGTACATCAATCAGCCAAAACCTCCCGTAAATCATGTGACTTCTGTGTGGCCACTCCCACTCTAAATCCCTCCCCTCTCCCCGCAGCCCCCTGTGAAAACAGACGCTACTCCGTGCAGCAGCGTTGAGGCTCATATGTAGTCTCTTCCTCGCTAACCTCATCTCTCCTGACCCCTTTTACCCTATTTCTCTGTTCCCTTTCCATCCCTTTTTCTTATTTCTTACCTCTTTATTCTCTATTCCCATTCCTATTTCTTTTTTTCCAATATGCGTTCCATGGGTAAAATGTGGCCGAAACACATTGTTTGGACGATTTTCGCCATTCTTATTCAAGGAGACATCTGCTCTATTCACATGCACAGCAAAGAAGGCACATGTCACAACGCACCACTCACGCCCTCTACCAAACAACACTTCGTGTCACTCCCCTCTTACTCTGTGCTTTCAATTTGCTACATGCTTTACGCTCATTCTGCTGCTACCTTTTATCTGCGATGCATACGACGATGAATGATAATGATTCTGGTGATGATTGTCGCTGCTGATAATGATGGTTGTTGCAAATAATAATTGCTGCTGTTGGTGATAATGATAATTGGTACTGCTACTGATCATTTCTGATTTTGGTGATTGTTTCTGCTATTATGATCGTTGTTGATGGTGATTGTTGCTGCAAATGATAGCTGCTGCTGATGATGATTGTTGATGATGATGCTTGCTGCTAATGATGATGATTACTGCTGTTGATGATGATGGTCGCTACAAATTATCATTGATGGTGCTGACGATCATGATTGCTGCGAATTATGGTGTTGCTGGTACTGATTATTTTGATTTCTGCTGAAGCTGCTCTCCAACAAACCATATGATTATGATGCTCCGACTCAGCTGGTAATACATCAAGGATATAATTATGATGATGATGACGGTGATGATGATGAGGAAAATCCTATTGTAATAAGATTTAACAGCACTTAAATTTGCAAATACAGTAAGCCACGTTCCTGAACGGCATGATATTAAATCCGCGTATATTTATATTTAAATCTTATTAGATAAACAGGTTAGAGGACGTAAACATTTTACATCTAAAAAAGAAAAGGGATATATTAATGAATACATATGTAGTGACACAGCGCTGCCTGCTGTGCAGCAGCTGCAACTGTAGGTGGACACTTAACACACGCCATTGAGCCACACACACGGGTGTGCCGGCAGGGCAGAGGAACTGGGACAAGGGTCACGGTAGACCTCATAGGGAGGCCCCTGGAACCTTCTGGTGCGTTGGAGAAGGGAGGCGCTGCTTGGGCGGAGCCAAACTGCACCGAGGGGAATAAAAGCAGCGGAGAGCAAGAGCTCCAGGCTGCCGGTTCTGGGAGTGGACTCGTCTCGTCGTCGTTGTCGCCGCATCCGTCGCTCCCGCCTTCGCCCAATCATTGCGCGGCCAGACAGTAGTAGGCTGATTAGGTCGACACCGTGGGTGCAACGCGGACAGGGTCGTTTTTGGGCCAGGCCGTACAGCATCGTGGTCGTGAGAGTCGGGGCGTCTAAGTTGGTGGTGTGAACCTAATAAACGACGGTGCCTCCTGCGACTACCTCGTCTCCGACTCAGTGTGTGCGCCGCACGCCACCCGCACAAATACGCCTCGAGAAGGGGGAAGACGAAGAGACCTATCTTGATTTGAAGCTTTCGTGACTGCAGGAATCCATACTCTTTGATTATTTCGGTAAAGTCACGTAGCAACACAAGCCATCGTCTTCAGGTGAAAATCACGATAGCCGCGATGTCTGCTGCGAGCAGCGCGATGTCTGCTGCCTTGTGAAGAAAGCTGTTACCAGCAAGAGTTTATATAAGTTTTGAGAACAAAGGTAGCCGAAGTAGTGTTAATGGGGTATATTATAGTGTCAAGGTAATAAATAGCGTGGCATGTTAAAGGAAATGAACTTAGATTAGCATGTTGGATTATAGTGCAAAGTTAATGAGCTTCCGTAGCGCATAAGAGCTCAGATTAGCATGTAGGATTAACATATGTATATTGATGAGAGAAGCATATAAAAGTTAATGAAAAAATTAGCAAGTTAATGTCAGTCTATGTGTAACAAAGAGTAGCATGATAATTCGTTTTTTACCCTTCTATCTGGCAACAAAACTGACACCTTTTTACAAGGAGTCATGTTTGCATAGACCGCAATACCTGCAGTCATAATGCAAACAAAAAACACAACTTTGATAATGTGCACTGTCCTTGAAGTTGATTGGTCCATACCAGAGACAGCTTTCCTTAGAGCCTAGTCTCACATGGGTTGGACCATATGACGCCAAATGGCGCACAACTCAAAGACAATGCACCATCAGAGTATGAGAGCTCGGGGTAAGCATTTACACCATTGGAACCTCATTTTCCAGTAAAAATACGATAATTGTTTTTTTACCCTTCTATCTGGCAACAAAACTGACACCTTTTTACAAGGAGTCATGTTTGCATAGACCACAATACCTGCAGTCATAATGCAAAAAAAAACACAACTCTGATAATGTGCACGGTCCTTGAAGTTGATTGGTCCACACCCGAGACAGCTTTCCTTAGAGCCTAGTCTCACATGGTTTGGACCAGATGATGCCAAAAGGCACACAACTCAAAGACAATGCACCATCAGAGTGAAGTACCGGTGAGGACGCTTGACGCCGAGGTTGAGGCACACGTATATTTATTTTCACAATACGACAGTGGGCATATACACACTCGAGGGGGTATCGGCCCCCTCACCCGTATAACTCGGGATACACCCCTAGCTAACTCTGTCCTAGCCCCGAATCCTCCACTAATGGGCTAGGGGAGGCTAACTGGCCCGACACTGGTAAGTCGGGCCCGGTACCCGGAGTTCCAGACCAGCTCTTACAAGAGCACCGGCTCTGGCTTTCGGGACCACGCCGCTGGCTCAGTCCTGTCCGGCCCTGAAAAGGACATCGAACTAGGGGAGTCCAGGGCTCTATCTAAGACGTCTTCAGTCTTCTTCCCTTAGCTTAAACATAACTGACTCGAGCCCTTTGAACATCCCCTTTTATACCCAACCCCTCCCTGAGGGGTGGGGCCCCGGGGGATCATAACGTTCGAACCAGCCCCCCCCAGGGTGTCTGGCTCGGACGTCGTAGAGGGCACCTCCTCGTGCACTTACGTAGCCCCGCCCACTGTGTTTGTTTTCCATAGGCTGCCATGCATAACGGGCCCTCTCTTTAACACCCCTACATCACCCCCCCCCCCCCCCCCCCCGCATAGCTTGCAGCCGTCCCGGCTGCCAACATACAAAAATGACAATAAAAGTGCATTTACACCTTGACCGCGCGTGTGCCTCACTATTTTTCAACAATAACAAGAACAGCAACAAGAACACAACAAAATGCAACAGCAAGAAGAGAAAACAACCCGACGCACCCCCCCTTGAATAAATACGAATTCCGTAAAAAAAATAACCTATATACAATTTGCAGGGAACCCACCATACACACAACACCAGGTGAACCCAACGTATGTACATTTCAATGGGCAGGGAACACACCACCCACACAACACACAATGAACCCAACATATGTACATTCAATGGGCAGGGAACACACCACCCACACAACACACGATGAACACAACCTATGTACACATCTTCCGGCCTCATAACAGTCTGCGCATTTTTGCGCGCGTCCTTGCAGCGGGCCCCTCACACGGGGTAACCCCGGGTGGCGGACCGTCAGGTGGCAATTGTCCGTCCCGGAGTGAGTCCTCATCCGATGCCGCGCGACCGTCGGTATCCCCAGGAGGGGTGGTCGGGCGTGAGCCCGTCAGTCCTGATGCACCTGGAGGTGGCCCGGCCGGCAAGGCATTAGGTGAGAACGACGGAGACGGACCCAATGAGTTGGTCGACCCCCCACACGTTTGGCCACGCATGTGTGAAGTGGGTTTGTGTACCGCAACGAAGGGTTTTAACCTAGAGGGGTGCACGAACCATCGCCGCTTCCCCCATTTAATGCGCACGCACTGTGGTCGCAAAACTTCGACCACCTCCACAGGGCCCCGCCACGGCCGCACCAGCTTAGAGGAGGTAGCCAGTGGCACTTGGGGACAGTGCAGCCATGCCTTGTCCCCCGGCTTCCACTGTATCATGTGCGCCCGACCCAGCCTGAGGCGCTCATTCGCCTTTTGACGGAGTTCCGAGTTTAGCATTGCAGCATCCCGCGCCTCTGTTAATTTGGCCAGATTAAATTTGACGTGGTCAGCCAATTTAGTTTTCCCTTGCGGCTCGGGGATCTGCAGCTGGGCGCGAACAGGCGGGTCGGGTTCGCGACCGTACATGAGGTAAAAGGGGGAAAATCCCGTAGCTGCATGGGGTGCCATCCGGTATGCCGCCAAGACCCCTTGAATATGCAGGTCCCAGTCAGTCTGTGAGTCCGAGACCTGCTGTGACATCATTGACGTAATGGTGCGATGCAGGCGCTCGACCATCCCGTCAGTTTGCGGGTGATACGGGGAGGTACGAATTTTCTTCGTGCCTAGGAGGTCACAGACTTGTTTGAGTAATTTACCGGA